GCAGCTCAACCCTAAGTCCCACTGCTCTCACCCGGATCCTCCTCTCGCCACTCTCCCTCCCGATCCTCTTCTCCTGCTTTCTTGGATTCTTGTTCAAAATGTAAGTCAATCTGACCGGCGCTTTTATTTATTTTTGTCTTCTCCCGAGAATGACGCAATTCCTTGCTGTCAAAATCCCCGGATCTTCTCTCATCCTCCTTAGATGGGAGATCAACTGACTTCATGCAAATTTCTTTGGTTGCCGAATCTTGGTTCGGCGCAATTGTGGCCGTTTTAATAGTATTTATCGAGACTATAATTTAACTTCTCTTAATTATTCTCAACAAGCGCGTATGTGCTAGCCTCCGGGTCGAGTCTGGATGCTCCGTCTTAATTGTGTCTCTTGACGCGCAAATCTATGTTTCTTAATGTTCTTATGTGGTGATTTCCGCCCACTTTATGTTTGTTTGCAGATTTGAGCTCCGACATAGCATCAACCCGCTGGGTTGGAACTCAAGGTCTGGCTATATGCTTGGATTTTGGAGTATAAGTTCGAAGAACTGGAGAAGAGCTGAGCATGGTGAAAAGATTTGGAGCGGATAGAGTTGAGTCTTGAATTTTTTTGGGAGGGTTGGATTTTATATATGACTTTGGGCGGTTGGTAGAATCTCGAGGAGTTGTTTTACTAGAGGTTCATTCTGGCAGGGAAGGGCCAAAGAGGGGAAAGGGGAAAAGAATTTCCTATTTTTGTTGGGCGATTTTTGGCTAGTTTCCCTAGTACGATTTGCTTGCAACCCTGAACCGAATAGCAATGCTATGAGTAAAATCTGCACCATTTCTTCTTCTTAACTCAAGATTTACCTGTGATGGAAGCAAATGGAACCATTCATGATTCTAGCCTAGGAACAGCAAAAAGGGAAAAGAGAGAGGTAGGTGACAAATCCATGGAAGATTTATCTAAATATGCTCACAGTCGTGCTCACTTAGCAGTTGCCAGGCGTGATCACGCTGCCCTACGGCAAATGGTTTCCACCCTACCTCGACTTGCCAAGGCTGGTGAGGTCAAGACAGAAGCTGAATCTCTAGCTGCTGAGGTTCGAGCAGATGAGGTCTCTGCCGTTATTGACCGTCGTGATGTTCCTGGTAGGGAGACCCCTCTCCACCTTGCAGTACGTCTCAGGGATCCCATCTCAGCTGAGATTCTGATGGCTGCTGGTGCGGATTGGAGTCTGCAGAATGAGAATGGTTGGAGTGCTCTCCAGGAAGCAGTGTGCACTAGAGAAGAAGCAATAGCCATGATTATGGCACGGCATTATCAACCTTTGGCTTGGGCCAAGTGGTGTCGTAGGCTACCCCGCATTGTTGCCTCAGCTACTCGGATTCGTGACTTTTACATGGAGATAACTTTCCATTTTGAGAGCTCTGTCATTCCTTTTATTGGGCGCATAGCCCCATCTGATACTTATCGTATTTGGAAACGTGGTGCTAATCTTCGAGCAGATATGACCCTTGCTGGATTTGATGGCTTCCGCATCCAGCGGTCAGACCAGACATTTTTGTTCCTTGGAGAGGGATATACTTCAGATGATGGTAATTTAACCCTGTCGCCTGGTTCTTTGATTGTTCTTGCTCATAAGGAGAAGGAAATCACAAATGCCTTGGAAGGAGCTGGTACACAACCTACAGAAGCTGAAGTTGCTCATGAAGTTGCCCTAATGTCTCGAACAAATATGTATAGACCGGGTATTGATGTTACTCAGGCTGAGCTTGTTCCCCATTTGAATTGGAGGCGCCAAGAGAAGACTGAGATGGTTGGAAATTGGAAGGCTAAAGTTTATGACATGCTTCATGTGATGGTGAGTGTTAAGTCAAGGCGGGTTCCTGGTGCTTTGACAGATGAAGAGCTTTTTGCTGCAGATGATGAAGAAAGCATGGTCAATGGAGAACACAATGATGGATATGATGATGTATTGACTGCTGAGGAAAGAATGCAATTAGATTCTGCTCTCCGTATGGGGAATTCTGATAATGTTTGTGAAGATGAAGACCATGGGTCGTTTGATGGTCAAGAAAATGGTTCAGCAGTTTCCTATGAGAACTGTGAAGCCAATGGTGCAGTTAAAGAGAAGAAGAGCTGGTTTGGTTGGAACAAGAAAAACACTAAGGGTGGCAGTGATGACCCAGAGGATTCAAAAATTATGAAGAAATTCTCAAAAATGGCCCCAGAGGGTAGCAACCAAAGACCAGGTGGTGATCAACAAAAGCCAGCATCTGAGTTTCTGAAGGAGGATGCTGGAGATGCCAAGAAGGGAAAAGATAAAAACAGTAAGAAGAAGAAGAAGAAAGGAGTAATCAATGAGTCTAAGAATGAGAGCGAATATAAAAAGGGATTGAGACCTGTGTTGTGGTTGACACCTGACTTCCCCTTGAAAACAGATGAGCTCCTGCCACTACTTGACATCTTAGCAAACAAGGTTAAGGCTGTTAGGAGACTCAGGGAACTTTTGACAACTAAACTTCCTCAAGGAACATTTCCTGTCAAGGTAATGTTTTTTTTTTTTTTTTTAATTTATTTATCTGCAGTGGCTTTTTAGACACAGCGATTAGATTCCGTATTATACTCATTTTTGGTCTTGTTTTTTTTTGGCCAAACATTTTTTTGTCTTCTGAATAATGCTAAAAATTAAAGTCTTGTTTCTCAAAGAATAACATGAACTACCCTATTTAATTTCATAGTCCATATCTCCTTAGATGAAAATGCTAATTTTTCCTGACTACGGCTTGACATGGTCCATAACAAAAATAAGAGGAATATTATTTGGTGTGCAAGACTTAGGGGCCGTTTAGTAATGTCCTTGGTGTCCATTAATAAAAATGATAACAATAAGAAAAGCGCAATTATTGTTTAGTAATGGCAACATGAAATATTAGCCATTATATATAAATATATATATATCTTGATATGGAAAAGGAAAGCTCTTCCTTTCCCTCAACCAAACACCCCAAGAGTTTGGATATCGTTTCAGTCAGGTTGGTTCTACCATGGATTAGGTAAATGTTGAATGATTTAGGCAGTTAGTCAGGTTAGCCCATCTAAACATTAAGGAATTAAATCGTGGTTGAGTGGCAGGTGTGATAACGGTGCATATTGTGCTAGTTTCTGTCTATCTTGGTTCAATATGATGTTTAATTGTCGCTAATACCATTGAATGTACAACGATCATTTCTGGAGATATGTATTGATTGCTTTGTCAAATCACAGCTTGAACTCCATATCAATTTTTTATTGGAGATATTGATTATTAGTTTTTTTTTTTGGGCTAATCTTTTTGGTCAAGCTCGGGGCACTGGCATTAAATTATATTGAATGATTGAGCTGCTTTACTTTTACAAGCCTTTGCTTCTGGGTAGGGAAACACCATTCCGACACTGGCGTTCTACATGTAATGGACATCAAATCTCATCTGATAATCTAAACAATACTCTTAACCATATATATCGGTATTAAAAAAAAAAAAAGCGTTGACATTAAATGCGTTTTGAACATGTCAGATTTCATGTAACTTCATTACGGTATTTATGCTAGTCTTTATTATAATTGTTTTTGATGATGCTTTTATGTTTTAAATGTGGCATATTCTGCATCCATCGGTATGCTCGAAAGGCTTCTGGTTTTGTTTTAATCCCTCATACGCGATGCAGGTTGCCATTCCTATAGTTCCTACTATACGAGTGCTTGTTACTTTCACAAAATTTGAGGAACTTCAGCCAGCAGAGGAGTTTTCCACTCCGCTCTCCAGCCCAGCACATTTCCAGGATGCCAAAGGGAAAGATTCGGAGGGGTCTACATCCTGGATTTCATGGATGAGAGGAAGTCGTGGTGGGCAGTCCAGTGACTCTGATAGTCACCGATATAAGGATGACGTTGACCCTTTCAACATTCCTTCAGACTACAAATGGGTAGATGCCAATGAGAAGAAGCGCCGCATGAAGGCCAAAAAAGCCAAAAGTAAGAAAAATAGGAAGCAAACAGGGACAAAAAGCGGGGATGGAGTGCATCAGTCGGGTGAAGATGTGGAAGAACAATAAGAAACGGTCTACCGGTAATCTTCGCTATGAAAATTGTTGCGAGAAGGAGAATAATTGTCTTTCTTTGTGCACAGCTGACCTTTTATTTCCCCCCTTTCGTGATATTGGATTAATTATTATTATGAAAGCTTTGTCTTCTGGAAATTGTTGTATTGCCTCCACGTGAAGTAAAATTGAGGAGCTAGAGTCTCAGTCCATGTCGCCTTCAATATTTTGGTTTTGTCTAATTTTTCATAGTTGCCAATATTGTACCTACATCTATATACCCTTGATTATCCATCTTACTGTGAGTTAAGAGTAGTGCTCTTTTTGGATGTGCAGAATTTGGGCTTTCCCCCGCGGAGTAAATCGATCCTAAATGTTGTATTTGATAATCATTTTAGGCGGAGGATTTATTACGATGATCCGTGGTGTAGTAAATTGTTCGTTCAAATGGATGAAATAATCATAGGTACAGAATGGATGTGTCTCAACAGTTCAACATATCCTTACTCTGGAAAGAAATGAATGGCAAAAGCGAAAATTGGTGAGCGGACGTGGCAGCCTTGATCGAAGGCGGCGAGGTTGGTAACCAGGGAGGGTAATTTGAAATCTCATTTGTCATGGGTGACCCGGGTAACAGAGGGAAAGAAAATAATCGTCATGCATCCTAATAATTGATTGTAAATAATTAAATGATTAGGCTCATTTAATTTCTAAATTATATTATAATTATTAGATGTTATTCCCTTGTTATATTTACTACATACGTAAAATTAACATACAAGTCAAAACTCAAATAGATTTCTCATGTTTCCTGAGTCGCTCTGTTGCATTTCACTCGTACTCCTCAAATTCATCCACGCTTCAACGGTTTCTTTATTCAAAATGCACGTCTCTCTCTCTCTTTTTTTTTTTTGGGGGGGGGGGGTTTAAATAGCGTCACATTTAAATTTACACCCGAACCTGCAAAGCAAGATTGCATTTCTTAAGTTCTAGCTCCCTCCGAAGAAAGGGCCATCTATATTCTGTACAAATAGCACGTCAAACACCGAAAAATTTTAAGAAATAATATGGATCACTCTTATCAGAGCTAAGGGTGTACTATTATTGTTGTGCATGCAGAGAAAGAATAATATTACAAAAAAAGGCGCTGGTTGAGCAGAGAGCTATTTACAAGAATGAAATCTACCAAAACCTGTCCTTGTTGACGCTCAAGTAGCCAGCCATTACCTTTCCCCCAGTATTCCTCATCCCGTCTATGAGGAAGCACCAAGTGGACCCCAATGCTCCCACAAAAAAATCCGACTCAGCAGCCATCAAGAAATTCACCAACGGGTAATTAGTGCTCTTTTCCCTACCCAAGCTCCTTTCGTACTCCGCCATTGACATATTACTCCTCTCTTGCCTTCTGATCTTTGTATAGTAAAACTTCCAATGAGGGTATTCTCTGGTTTTGTCTATAACTTCCTGAATCCAAGTTACATCTTCATAATGTTAGGACACATCTAATATCATAGAAGTAACGGATAATGAGAGTTATAGGAAGTAACAAACTTGGCACCTGCATCTCAGTTGAGAGCCAGATGCTGTCAAGATTAGGGAATCTATTCCTAATCCGGTCGGCGAGCTGCATGTACTCTTCAAACTCCACCAATTTCATCTCACATGCTTTGTCTCCCATCCTGACGTGCATACTTAGAAGGGGCCTTGGGACCCATGACTTGTGATTTGACCACACATAATCATCAATATCCGACCTTCGCTTCTTACCGGTACTCTGCATCACACAAAACCATTAACATTAGAACTAGTCTTGATGGATACAAGTTCCAGACCATGTATTCATGAGAAATCACGTGGCACCTATTATGCATCTACTTTATCTTGCAAGCTCAGCTGAGCATGATTACTCTCGTTCTAGTTGTCTATGTCAAGTACAAAAACTAATGAAAAACTGACAGTGACAAGAGACTAACCTTTGGCCAGTCTCCCGGTAGACCGTCAAGAACCATTTTCGCGGCTAATTTACCAAATGCAGCGTGATGGGCCTCATTCAATAAATTGCACGTGTATTCTGTTGGGAACCTCATTAAGTAGCGTACTGCCTGCAAACATAATTAACAGCAACAACGATATTATGTAATGTAGCAATGCATGTTTCCCATGAACACTTGATCATAAATGTCATCCCCCAAGTAAGCAAGTGCTGAAGATTGCCCGTGTTGTGAAATGACAACACTTCTCCAGCCCAGAGAGGGATCGTGTTAATGGAGCTAGGTGTAGACATAGTCATTGAACCAAACTACTAAAACGGAGAAATAGCTTGGTTCTGCATGTATAACAGCTGACCTGTGCTCTCCACCACCGTCTATCCATTTTCCTATGAGAAGCAAGTAAGCTGCCGTTTATTTCAGTTGTTGGCTGCAAATAGTTCCAAGGCTCACCCCATGTCCTGCAGCATATAGTCATTAGAAACATAAAACTTCTATATACAGATTCTCGGTCTATAAGCTGTTCAAATATTTGTCGTTACGGTTCCAAGAGCTTGCCTGGGTGTTGACCCAGCCCATATATGCTTTGATGCATAATTTTCTTTTGTGGTCACGATTCCCTTTTTCAATGCCTCTTCACTTTTCAAAAGTTCAAAAGCACGGTTGCGGCATTCTTGGGATGTTTCAGGTAAGAAGTAGCAACTCCAACTAGACTGGGAAGACCCTGCATATAAAACATTGCTAGTTCATAGTATTGCCCAATTCACCGTATATTGTTCACCAATACGGTCCAAGATAAAGCATTAGAAGTATGACCATGTTGTACCTTTGCAACCATCATGGTCAGCCCTATTATAATAGTTGGTGACAAGGACTCTTCCTTCACTGATTGCAATGGCAAGAAGTCCACACATTCCAGCAATCTGAGCCCCAATGCCAAACCCAGGTAACCTCTCCCAGTCAGCTACAAGGAACTTGACATCTGGGTCCCTGCAGTTTAGTGGATGCTGATGCATCCATAAATCCCTCTGCACTTTTCTAGTCAAAGGATAGTTTTCTTCATCAGATCCTGCAATCTGTGGAAGTACCCTATGTAAGCAAATTGTTAATAAACCAAAACGACCCATCTTTTTATGCTAAAATCAAGCTCGTAAATGTTCCTTGAACATCCACAAGTTGTTAGTCAAATGATGATCTCGTAGAGATAGAAACTAGGTTTAAGTAGCAAAGTAGTCAAGCTAAACTGATAGAGTTTTTGACTTTCGAACAAGGCAAAAATCAAAGGAAGGAAATACATTCCATGTCGTTTCTGAGTCAAACAAATTATAAGGCACATACCCAGGGAGGATAAGTGCCGTCTGATGCAGCCTTGTGACTAAAATATTGAATGTGCGCGTTGTTTGCAGAAGCTGGGTAGGCAGATAAAAACCCTTTCCAACTTGTCCATGGAGGGAAGCTCTCATTTCCAGTACGCTTATCAAGGCGCTCATATAGCTTTGCTTTCACCTTGCAGTTTTCCAAATGAGGTGCACTTGGCAAGCTGGACCCACTAATTCCAAGTTTCTGCAACTTCTCAAATGTCTCGTTTGAAGATTTGGTCAACAAACCACTCCACGCTGAATAAAGCAAAGACACTTTCCCATCGCTGTTTCTCTCTCCACTGCTCTTCAAATCCTTTAATCTCTCTGTTTCCTTCAGTTTCAAATCACAGCCCGTAGATGTAACCTTGTCTAACAAAAAGAAAGAATATATATTCAGCCAGTTGTTTCATCCATCTCTAATCTATAATTAATTCAATCGCTGAGGCCCTGCATGCTATCCCAATCTATGCTGTAGTAGGAGTCAAAAGTTAAAAAAAGAAAAGAAAAAAAAAAGTACAGTAATTACTTGGTAGAGTACCCTTAACGTAAAGGGCTTTTAATTTAAAGTCGCTTCAATTACAAGACTCGGATTATTCTCATCAAGTTCCCTTCACGAGAATTTGAACATAAGCGTAATGAACCTTTCTTTTCACTCAACTTTGAAAAAGAGTAACAATTCATCATATCATCTGTTCAATCCCTACAGCAGAAGTGAAAGATCCTTGTTTTCCTACCTTCTTTTCAGCCAGACCCAAAAACCAGTTGCAGGGTCCTTTTGCATGAAAACCAAGCATCAATAAGAATCGATAGAAATGAAGAAGGAGAAATTGACTTACTTAAAATGCCGGAACTTGAATTAGCTAAGGACATGGATGAGAATGAAACCGGACCAATTTGAATAGTGCCAAAGGAAGTCAGAGCAGCCAAAAAGAAAGAGGTAAGGCAGACTCCGCAGAGAAATCCCACCACGCAAATTTGACACGGAAACGAGCTTCCCATTTGCAGAGCCTTCTGTGACACCACTCTCTCGAGAGACTTCTGATTTAATGCCTCCATTTTCAACTCGTGCCCCAGGAGTTGAGCACTTTTTCTCGAAACTGACGGGTATCTCGAGACTCCACTCACAGGACACGTTTCTCCGACTTTTCAATTTTCATTTCGATCAACTCAGGCTTCAATAAATTGCTTCTTCCAACAACTCCAACGCCGATGACACGAGACGTCATAAATCACAGGACCCTGGCTTTTCGCACATCAAGCGCTTCAGGAATTTCGCGGCAAATTATTCCGACTGTAGAAGATATAAAGTCGGTTCTCACTCAACGCCACACCCAAGCAACTCAATATCAGATAAAATTAAGGCCAAGGCAGGAAATTCTCTTTGAATTATGGGGAAATGAAATTATCAAGAAATGAAAACAGTAATTAAGCACGGAAGGCTGAATTTGGAGGTCTAACTCGCCACTTGGCAGATTAAAGGAGGAATAGGAAGAGAACTAGAAAAAGCTATGCCAGGAAAAGCCGCAAGCCCGGTTACAGGTTTTGAAAAGAGTCCGGGCCTTGTTGTTAGAAGGCTGAAAACAAAGGCAGCACGGAATGAGAAAGGCGGTCAGGAGAGAGGAGAGTGTGCAGGAGGAGAGATGATCAGGTGAAGAGGATAAGATTCTGCGGCCTGGACAGCTTTGGGCAGGTATTCGTATCTGACCCCTTTAGTGAACATAAAATGAAAAGTGGGAAAAACAAGGGAGGGAACCGACAAAAGGGGACGAATAGCGAGGAGAGGAAGGTCTGGGGAAGGTGTAGTGGCGATGATAGCGACTTTATGGATGAACAAAGACAATTCACTCACAAGGTGGTAATACCCTGACAATGAAGCGAAGGATCAACTGGGTCTGTCCCTCTGCTGCTCCAGTCCCCTCTCAAGTCTCAACTATTCCTTCACATGAATGATCACTTCCCTTATCACCCGGCCTTTTTTTAATTTCAAGTGGGGGGTTTCTTTTTCTTTTAACTCATAAAATCCAAAAACACACACTATCATTAAAAAAATGACATTAGGTAAAGTAAGATAACCAGTGCATGAGTATGTGCAAGTATTTAAAGCTGTTGACTTTTTCGACAAAAGAAGAAGTACTTAAAACTCTGTCTTTTTTTCTTTATTTAAGGAAACTAAAGATGAGCGATGTGTTGTGTATGGGTTGGCTGGGTTTTTTTTTTTTTTTTTCCTTTTAAGAAGTATGCTGATTATTTTCATGGAATAGCCGGGTGAGCATCACAGTTTGCTTGCGGTAGGGGGCTGTGGGAGAGCAAGAGGACAAAAGAGGAGCGAGGGTGGGGCCAGGGCGTGAGATGGACACGTGGAACAACGGAAGAGCGAGTAAGGTGGGGCAGAAAAAAATGATGAAAAGGTTTATGGGGAAAGAAGAAGCAGATGATAATGATGATGCTAATAATAAAGGTGAGGCTTTGAAGTCAGTTCAAGCTGTAAATTTATTTAATCAGCCATTCCATGCTCTTTCAAATTTGATATGGTACGCTACTGTTGTGTATTGATTTATTGGATTTACTTTGTGTATATTTGCTCTATTTTTGTTACAAATATATTATGTGGTATGCCCAGGATACACAACAGCCAAATCTTCATATGATAATTATCACAACAATAATAAACACAAAATGAAATTTAATTTGAATAGTCTAGGTTTAAAGTTCTTAACGTGCGATTTTTTAATCTTTATTTGAGATTTTATATCTAATAAAATAAAGTATGAAGAATTAAATTAAGAGTTGATTGGACGGAGTATGGAACGCGATTCCCGCAAAAACGGAGATTGTACGGGACTTACTGCCATCAAAGAAGGTGATCGCATCATCCTTCTTCAGCCCGCAAAATATTACTTCGAAAAATCAAATTACTCCTCCGGTCCTTATTATAAGATCTTATTTAATTTTTTGTTTGGTCCTAATTATAAGACCCCAATCCATTTTGTCTCTTATATTTATGCATTTTTTTTCAAGATAATCCTTCTAATAATGATAGTTTTAGCCAATATACTTAATTAGCAAGGATATTTTAGGAATGACAACACTTATTTATTATAAATAACCAACTTAACTTACTTCCTTAATCTCTTCAAATAACTCAATTGGGTCTTATAATTAGGACCGGAGGAGTAACAATCAAGAAATTCGAATATAAAAAGTTATCACGTGAAGGCCAACAATCCTTAGAGGGGAAAAAGTCGTGTGATATTAAAATGAAACGACCAGCATTATTATCATTATTAGCGTGTTACTTTGCTTTTTAAATCGTTTGTTTCTTTTTTTCCAGATTTTATATGTTTTACAGAAAGAGTTATGTTCCGGCGGAAATCATCATAAGAAGTATTTATGCTTTTTTCCCCCCTCCCCCAACCAAAATGTATTCATTATTTAATTAGTTCTGCTGAGTTCTTATCAAACCGATAATCTTGTTCGTGAAAAACTAAAAGCAGCTGATTCCGTTTTAAAATATATATATATATATATATATTTGCATGGCCGTGCCTGTCCACATGATCCAGCGCGACAGTTGTGTTGCTTTTATCTGCTCAAAATAAAATATTCAGCACCTTTATACATAATATGCCACTGATGATGACACTAATAAATAATACCTCTCGTCCTTAGTATAAAACATAATTTTTAAATTAGTTTTAATTTTAAATATAAGATTTATTTTTTATATTTATCAATTTTTTCTAAATTACTTATATGGATACTTTCTCAACCATAATCAAGTAGAAGAGAGAGAGAAAATATTAAGAAAGATGATTATAGTGTTTTAGGAAAAAATGTGTCACTTTTCTTATAACTAACTAACTTGCTGAACTTCCTTAATCTGATCAAATTAGTTAAACGGGTCTTATATTAAGGACTGGAAGATTGATAATAATAATAACACTACTTTCAATTTTAATTATAAGACCAAAAACTTAATGGATAGCAGTAATAGAGGCGTGCTGGCCTAAAAAAAAAAGATTAGGGAGTGTTTGGAAGCACTTAAAAGTATTTTTTAGAAGCATTTTTCTGTAAAATAAGACAAACTTCTCCACATATTTACTTCGTATACTGTAAAAATACTTTTAAAACCATAGTTTTATTTCTACCCAAACACTCTCAAATCAGAAAAGAATTAATTGAAGAGGCAGTTTCAGTGGGTCCAGTTAATTAGATTCAACCGCCGAGTCGGTCAACAGCACCCTTCGAGGAGTACAATCTGAATGTCTCACCTGCCGCTCAACTCAACGGATGGAGGCACCCCTGCCTCCAGATTCTTGATTTGTAGCAAGGGGTGGTTTCCCTATAATCCTACCATCGCCTTTCGCCAACTTATCCAAACAACCAAACAAAAATAACGATTATTGCGTTATTACTTGCTCCCACCAAACAAAAATAACGATTATTGCGGTATTACCCGCTCCCTCCAACCTTCATTAGCATAAATTTACATTCTACAGGCAATGAATGGTTTTTTGAAAAAATAAATCACTTGATGTGATATTGGGTTTTCCCCGTATTACATGTATTTAAAGTCAATTATGATTAGAGACATGTTGTAATGTAAATACTAGCTCTGGTCTTTAATATAAGGTCTTATTTAACTTTTATTTGGTCATAAATATAAGACTTAATCTATTTTGTCTTTCATTTTTATCCTTTTTTTAAGATAGTCTTTGTAATAATAGTAGTTCTAACCAATACATTTGATTAGTAAAGATATTTTAAGAAAAATAACATCTATTTATTACAAATAACTAATTTAATTAGTTTTCTTAATGTACTCAAATTAATCAACTAACTTTTATATTAAAGATTGGAGGCAGTATAAATTTTTTATTTGAATTTCATTTTCAGATAAAATTAATAACTTAGCCGTCCATACTTTTCTTTCTTTTGCCAACACTTAACTATTCCTTCTTAACTTATGTGAATATCATTTTTTTAAAATAAAAGGCAAAAAATTTAGATGCGGTCTAAAATTTTAAAAAAAAATCGTGTTATATATTTATGAATTATAAATAGTATATCTCCTCAAATTTCTCATAAAACAAGTTCCGCAGATCGGTTATGTAAATATAAAACTTCTCAAAATCAATGCATGCTTTTTGGGGATGAGAATCCAGGCTTTTTTTTTCCCCTCACAAAGAGTCCTCATTGGAACTTCATTCAAACCCAAAGAAAAAGATTTTAGGTTGGGCACCAATCAAAGAATAAAGGAGGTGGCCAGCTCACGAATTGACGAGGAGAAGGGAGCTCAGGGCAAGTCACGAACAAGGGCTCCGGCTTCAAATCTCCATTCGTTCAAATATTGAGGCCTTGAGGGTAATGCCGTCAGTTCAATTTTTTACAGTGTCTTGGGTTTTCATAACAATTAATTTCTCACGCTCGGTATCCTTCAAAACTGGAATAAAAAAATTTGTTAATTTCTTTTACGTTTTTCTGATTTTTCTTTGGTCCCACGGATTATCTGTTTTAATGTTAATATGCTTATATATTAATTAATAAAATTTACTTAAGTAGGCAAGATTTATGAATCACAGGTAGCATCACACATTCAGAAAAAAAAAGCACCATATAGTCTACGCAAAAATAAAATGGAGGATGTTATTCGTATTATTTATTGGGGCGAACGTTACTTTACTTTATTACTTTTTTTTTTTTCTTTCAAATTTTATATGTTTTATAAAAAAGAATTATGTTCCCGCGCAAATTATCACAAAAAGCATCCATTCTTTAATCAGGTATGTTGAGTTCTTATCAAGCGGATAATCTTTTTTTTTATTCTTTTTTTATAAAGATTCCTCATTCGTTTTTTTTTTTTAATAACGCCGAGTTCTCTGATTTAATGTTCATAAAAATAAAATATTCGCACAGCTGTCCACGTGATCCAGCACGAACGTTGCATTGCTTTTATGCGCCTAAAATAAAATTTCCAGCACGTTTATATATAATACAATAGTGATTGAATATGGAGAAGCAAGTGGAGTATAATATTTATGAGGGTAATTAAACTATACGGATTTTGTTAATGAGGGCGCCAATAGAACAGAATAGCTTCCCTCGAAAAATACGGGGGAGGGGACCATGGCTCGAATTAATTGAAGGGGCAGTTTCAATGGGGCCCACCTAATTAGCTTATAAGAATATCCTTACGGGATTGCCTACCTGTCTAATACATGGCTGAGCCTGATCCTTGGTGCTCAGGTTTCTGTGACTAATTTTCATTTAAGAAACTTCACTGTCATTATAGTTAAATTTGAATATAAATTCCCTTCAATCTCAACGGAACTTCCATGAATACTTATAACTTTCAGTTTATAAATAATGAGAAGAAATTTTGGGTATGGTATAAATTGAAAAAAAATCAAACTGTTTATAAATTGTGGACCACAGCTTCTCAAAATTTGGTTATGTTAAATTTAAAATCTTGTCAAGATCAGGGCATGTTCTTAGGGATGTGAACGGATCATTCGGCCCTGACTTGAACATGGTAATTTGAAAACAATTATTATTTTTAAGTTATTTTTTATGCATTGATGGTTCAAATGCAGCATTATTTTGATTTTTGCATTTTTCGGGTTAACACATCACGCTTTACCTTACCCAGCACAAATATTTAAATTAAATTAAATAATTTAGATATAATACATATACGGCATGTGACCACAAATTAGACGTGGATCATTACACAAAATATAAAAACATGAAATGCGTGGACAGGCAGCTTAATATAGTACTCATTAAATTACTCCCTCCCACACTACTCATGCACAAGACAGTGCGCTCACGGGTCCTTACTCTGAACCCGTTTCAAAATTTAACCAACCATTAAGAATACATTTTTAAAAATAGCAGTTTGATTGAGAGTGATTTTGGAAAAATGTAAAGATCTCTAATAGCTAACCAACCTTAATTAATTTCCTTATTCTTAGGATATTAGTTAGTACTAGTAAGGGGGATTTATTAAAGCCCTATTAACTACTATTGATGAAGTCATAAAGGAAAGGACAGAGAAGATGGCAATTAAAGCGAGCGGGTCAACTCCTGTTGACGTTGCCTAATTGCAATGCAAGTAAGTGGGTCAAGTAAACAGAGCACAATGGCCCAACTTCGGAAGCCCATGACAAAAACCTCAACGGTCAAATTATTTGAAAGTTCCTTCAGATTGCGGCATTCTGAAGGCTTTCTTGACCGTTTTCCTCTGTCATGCATCCTCGCGAAATCCCACCTCCCCCCCCCCCTCCCCAAACCTCTGTTTCCCTCCCCGAGAGTTAAGTCTAAGGCAGTCTTCTTTCTTCTTTAGACGTAAAGGCACTTTATAGAAGCTGTCAGCGCCTAATGATGGTGTGCTTTCTCACTTGTTTTGGTGCCTCCAAACGCCGAGAACGCCACCCTTCCCCTCACGCAACTCCTTCTCGACATCAAGTATGCTCTCATTAGCTCTCACGCTTTCTGTTCCATCCATGCCTCTCTCTCTCTCTCTCTCTCTCTCTATGTAGATATACTTATTTTCTCTCACTATATGGTTACAGACTCATGTAGCCGATGAAGATGCCAAGCGTCAATACGCAGAGCAAAAGATTCTTGAAGAACCCATTACTGACACACAAAAGTAAGCTATCCATACTGACCTGCTCACCGCCCATAGAAGATAGAACTTCTTTTTCCACTGCGCAGCTCTCTCTTTTCGCTTTTTTTTTTTTTCCCCCTCATTTAGCTGCTTGTTAATTTGTTCAGAATAAAACTTGAAGAGCAACCAACTAAGAGGGGCATAGAGAAAATCACGCATGACCTGAATGCAAATGCCAATGGAGAGTTATCTGCCAAGGAGGTAAAAAAGTTGGAGGAAAGCACAACGGAACCCGAGAAAACAGAGAATGAAGCAACCCCTCGCATAAACCGTGGTCCCGAAGCCACTGCTGACGGCTTGAAGGATGAGAAGAAAGGCGGACATGAAGAGGAGGATGGCGTTAATCGAAAATCGCTTCCTGCGGAATCTTCAGAGTCATTGTTCTCTCTATCCATTGATTCTCGAAAGCATGTTTCTGCAGCTGAAAAAGCCGAGCATGAAGTTGACAGCCCAATGCCACCCAGGGATGCTACCTCAAACACAAAAGACGGATCTGGCAAATTTGGGTGGAGTCACGACGGAGTTCAAGTGAAGCCCGTCAAAGCAGAGGAAAATCTTGCTCAAGGAACGCCTTTCAAAATAAAGGATAGCCCAGACTTGTTCACAATTAAACTTGAAGGGACATCAAAATGGAATGCGAAGAGGAAAGTGGACTTTGACTTGAAAGTAAATACGAATGAAGAGCCATCTGCCCCGCAAATAATAAGGAGTTTCAATGAGAACAAACAAGACCAAGACGAAACACCTCGAGTAAGCGAATGCCCCAACTCCGCAGCATCAGGAAAGCCATCTCACTTCTCCCGGCGCAGATACCAAGATTTCCCTGACGAGGAATGCGGAGATTTTGATTTGGGTGAAGATGATTTTGGTGATAAGTTCGTTGATGATGATGATGATGCTGACAATGAGGAAAGAGGCGAAGGCGATGGGGCATTTAATCGAACGTGGATTCAAGAAGAGTCCTCAGAATCATTATTTTCTCTATCCACCGGCTCTAGAAAACAAGTTTCTGAAGCTGAAAAAGCGGACAATGAAGTTGACAGTCCGATGCCCTTCCGTGGCACAGAAGCTTTCGTCGGCAGGGGTAGAAGGATTCAAAATGTTTCCTCAGTATTGAATCCAATTGAAAATATAACTCAAGCGAGGGTGGAGAAAGCAACAGCAATGCAGACGCTGAAATACGAAAAGGAAAACATCAATTCAGAGAGAGATGTCACTGGTATGCCCAGGAGCGGAGAGGCTAGTTTGGAGGTGTCCGATGGTAAAGCAAGACTCGAGAAGTTCGATGATAAAAATCAAGAAGAAATCGGAGTCGACACCAGCCTCTCCAGCTGGTTGGTCGAAATAGAGACCACACCCAACTCCAAGAATGGCACGAATTCTGTGGGAGCCTCCACAACACCCATAAGTAAAAGGAGCTCGTTATCACAGGTGAGTCATGAAGATAGGCCGATTCTTGGAGCGTTGAGCATGGAAGAGGTGAGGAAGTTTTCCGTATCAAGTAAACCTTCAAGCAGGTCGAAAAGCCGAAGTCCAGATGAAACGCCAATCATAGGTACTGTTGGGAGCTACTGGAGTTATACAGGGCAGGCCATAAATTCAGAATCGCCGAGTTCTTGGGGTCGAATCCAAAATCAGAGAGGTACTCATTAGTTAGTAACACTGATGGGGGAAAGAGGGAGCTCGAGACAATTCTGAACCTGATGTCCTCTCATGAAAATTGTCTTTCTTGAAATGATATGCGAATTCTAATCCAATTGTTCTCCAACTCATAGCTGGGATCTCGCGGAGACGATTCCAATTGCTTTCTTTATCTTTATTTTTATTTTGGGGTTAGGTCAGGCTGATTCTCTCAAGAACAACAGTCATTGTTCAAATAAAACCGGTGCTTTAATGGTTAACATTCCAGGCTAAGCTTTACATTTGGGAATTTATAATATCAATGATGATTGTCAAAACTAAGGATTTAAATCTTTAAATACGAAAGTGCGATTTTTTAAAATAATACCTTAATGTAAGATTAAAAGAGAGATGTGATATTATTTATAGCTTCCAGATCTACATTATAATTTTGTTGTTTTAGCACTGTGGCCATCAAACACCAAACAGAGTTTTTTTTTTTTTTGGTCAGAAAACACCAAACAGATTGAAATGCAAAGAAGTTTTCATCAACCTAAATTACGATTCAAAACGTCATTCATGCACGAAATGGGAATGTAATTTTCCATAAATATTCATTAGAGCGGTTAGGTACATTAACATATATTTTGCAACATTAAATTTTTGTCGGGCAAAACCTCTAAAATAGTTTTAAAATAAGAAAGATTTTAGTTTTCATAAATCCTGGAAGCTAAACATCTTGGAGAATTAGACTTGCGACCTTGCCCAACTTCCGTCAGTTTTATAGTTATTAAAATTGTCTCGTGTTTGCATTTTTAAGTTTTTTTTTTTTTTAAATTAGAAGAACGGGCACCAACAATTTAAAAGGTGATGTCAAACTCACAACAATCTGAAATTACAAATACAAATAAGATTGAATTTACAACTTCTCAGCTATTGAGGTATTAAATCATGAGATCATTTCTTACACTTGTAAATTCTAATATGTCTAATTCAACCATAAAGGTAGAACAAATTCAACAAGATATCAATGAGAACTTCCAAATTCAACAACATTGAAAAAAAAAAATATCTACAGCAAATGTCAGTAGTAGCACAGCCAGCTAGAATGGTTAGCCCAAATCGGACAAGAAATTGTTGGACAGAAATAATAAATTTAAAGGGCAATTCCAACAAATTATCCCCAGAAGCAGCGATACTAGATGCCATTGCAAGTTAGAGAATTCTGCTGTCACCTGCTTTTCGCCCGTTTGGAGGCCGGTGCACCCAACTGGTCATGCCCCGCCTCTTCTTCATTAGTAACTTTAGTTCCTTCCACCTCTTGCTTTGTGCAGGCATCCCCAGAACATTCTTCGCCCGCGGTTGTTGCATTGATACTGCTGATTCCAGATGTTTCTTGACCCTCAATCGCGGGGGAATTTAATACCGTGGGCCCGTCTAAGGAGGAGGGTAATGTCTTGTGTTTGCCGTCCTCCATTTCTCTTTGTTTCTCAAACATCATCTGAAGACGCTTCCCTTGGTTTTCTATTTGAATCTGCAACTTTCTTTGAATCTGCGTAACAACTATAGCATCAGAATATGCCAAAACTTAAAGCTAGCCCCATTTTAACCCCCTGTCAAAATAGTATCCTCTTCTATGAATTACAAGGTACACAACCCCTAAACTGTAAGAACCCCAGACCGACCAGAAAACCTGGGGTAGGATGTTACGAATATTTGCAGCACTTCCACAGTCTAAGCACAAGTTGCTTCAGGCAGAAGCAAAGTATTTCGAAACAACTTTTCAACTACAGTACCTAACAGGCTGACACATTTGACAAGGTATTTTAATTTCTAACAGAACTAATCTTCCATTTATCATGATCAATGGGGATGTGCAATCATCAATCAATATTTGACTTGTAAGTTTAGCATGTAAAAAATTTTGAAGTAGAAGTATAACAAAGTGATCCTTAAGTACCTCAAGTTGTTCATGAAGCCGCTTCTGGAGTTCCATCTGCAACCGCAACGCCTCAGTAATCCCCATGCTACTGCAACCAAAATCCAAAATACGGTTTTGCTCATCGTTTAATTTAATGCAACTGAATCACACGGAGCAACAGTTGACATTGTAAATGGGAACAATAAGCATTATTGCCGTGGTAAAACTCTAAGTATTGCAATGAGATAATCAAATACATGTAATATAAATTAAGGTAGATTTACATTCAGTAAATAATGAACTCTGCCAGATGAATACAACAAGAGCAAACAATCTGGCACTAGAAATAAGATGAGTCAACAATTGTATGGCACTGTGATTGCAGAAGATTGTAGACAAAGGAAAATACTCACGCTGTCGAGTCTGAAGATTTCATTTCTTTGGTTGACGTTGACTTCTTCTCAGAGGCTCCTGCGGATAGGAAAGAGACAACAGAGGGGTCGATGTCCCTTACATAGTTTGCATCTTGACAGACAAAGGACAACTTATATTAAACAATGGAGTTATTATATAAACACATGCACATACCTCCTGATGATTCGGGCTTGAATCTGGCTGTTCTATACTTCTGAAATTAAAATAACAAGCAGTTCATAAAAAAAAAAAAAACCTTCAATAAAGACAACAGGGGCTAGTTTAGTGTAGATATCTATGCCTCTGACAATAGGGGCTGATCTAGTGTAGCTACCTATGCCTATGGTAATACAGCTAAAGAGAAGATTTTTTTTTTAATAAAAAAAAACTACCTGCAGATGGCTTTTCACATGATATATAGTAAGACCCTCAACTTTCATTAGGTTCAAAACACCCTTAGGAGTAGCCTCTGCATATTAACATGGGACCGTGTAAAACATCACCACCTATGAAAAGGTCAATAGGTTTGACAGCAAAGAGAAGGAAACATACTCTCACTACCACCAAGCTTATTCACTGCTTCCACGAAAGCTTCATGAAGTTCTGGAGTCCAACGCATTCTAGGCTTACTTTGTAGTGCATTCGTTGCTGAAGTAGGAGGAGCATTAACTTCTCCAGATGGTGCATCCTGCTGCTTGGTGGAGTGGGTCCCCTGCATCAACAAAGTAGGATACGCTTCAGTATCTTATATATAAGAAAGGCCGATATTAATGTACACCCTAAAAAGGTATTTTGAATTAATGAGAACCAGAGATACAGAAAGGGAAGAGAAATGCACAATGTCTACATACACAAAAACGAAATGTGCATAATACTGAAACCATTTGCAAATAGAATCAAGCACCTTTAAGCTTCTAAACACATCATATTTATCTACACGCTGAAAGATGTAAAGGGAAGGGAAAAACAGAGAGAACCACATGGCATGCTTTATGGAACTGCAATTATCCCCATGACTAGAAGGTTCAAGGGTTAGACACATATCACTTAAGGTATTTAGCATCTACAAGAAGGAAACAGGATCACAATTGACTAGATTTTTTAAATCTAACCAAAAATAGTTCATGCGTTAAAACAACAGTCATCAGACCACAGAAAGGCATCCGTGCTCAAAATCAGTTTGAGAAACAAACCTCTGATTTCGAATCCGGTACATTATCATCAACAAGAAGCTGGCTCCAGTTTGGATGAGGAGATTCATCGACTGACATTAACTGATCTACCCACTCCCCAAAATCAGTTTTTTTGGAGTTGTCATCAGACATAAAACAAGAACTATTTTCCATCTGATCGTTCTGTACGGAATCATTTACAGATAGATTAAGAATATCCTGAAAGGGATCTGGTCCCCATGAAATATCATCACTTTCTGGGGGTCGAGAAACGAATGCTGCCGAGTGTATTTCCGGATAACAAGAATGTGAAGGTGGGAAAGACGCATCTTCCCCACTCTGAGTAAGGGAAGTTCCTTGCGGGGGCATTACATCGTCTCTTCTCAATGTCTTAGAAATGAAGGGAGAATTTTGATGCTGCCTATCATGTTGAGAAATTGAGGAAGAAAAAGCGATGCCATTCAGGCATTTAGAAGGTGATGAAAACATGTGCCCACCGCTTTTAATGTTGGAGTCTGATGAAGCAGCCTGTACTGAGGCAGGATTTGCAGTCAGGTCTCCTGCAGTCAAGGAAAAAGAATCTAGAGGTTTCATATATTTGTCTTCAATACGAGTGGGAAGAAGAGGAAAAGATGAAGACATTACCCTGAAGTCTCTCAATTGACTCAGCTCTGTCCGGCCTGATGTGAAAAGCAAGTAGAATGTCAGTTACTCAACCATTAATAACAAAATACAAAGTAATTTCATGAGCCTGTTTTATTGATGTCAATAGTCATGAGCATAGCTTCTGGCGTCTCTGAGGATAAAACAGCTCAGTTGGCCATTGAATAAAAACACAAGGAAACAGATATAAACAATGGCGGTTAGCCCAATGTAGATAATAAGCCTAAGTATGCAATTAATGCAGAAATTTGAACATACAATACTTCTGAATTCGTCAATATACAGGGGTGAAAAAGGAGTAGTTATAGGTCGGCCAAAAAATACTGAACTACACAACTTATCAACAAATTCTGTGCTGGAGTCAAACAGGAATAGCTACGTAATATTGTACCACCCACTAACCAATGCTCATATGCATGGCAAGCTTGGAAAATATCATTGAAAGAAAGACAAGATTCCTTTTTTATTTTATTTTTTTGGGGTGCCTGGCAAACGAACAGTGGCTAATAAGAGTATGAGCGAACTTTGAGCGGTAGTCAACAGGAGATATTAAACAGCTGAATCCATTTCTAGTGAAAGATTAAAATTGTTTTGCGGAAGAAAGGTTTTATTTGGCTTGAAGCATAGAGCAGAAGCTGGTCAAGCCCAAGAAAGTTCCATAATGATTTCCGAGCATCAGCTTCTAACAACATGAAGTCATAAAACAGGAATGGACCGAATCCCGGTACCCAACTCGATTCATTACTTACTTAAACATTTTAATACGCGCAAACAAGGAATGGAGTCAGAGCCATTAGGATAGGGAACGGTGATATAGAAAAGGGGTGCGGGGACCGTTAGAGTTAAATCATGCAGTCGGTTCAGTTTGAACACAAGATACTCGAACTTTCAATTCCATGAGGGTCATCCTGCCGGAATTCACCATCTGTTTCAATTACCGAATATAAAATCTTCCACGCCGCCAATCAACGAGAAGAAGATACGCCCACCCGCAATCCATTCAATCCTTTTTTAACAGAAGAAGGAGAGCCGCTGCTTCGCTAAACACATTGGAACCAGCAAACAAAACTCTTTGTCGAGAGAGGAAGGAGCACAGCACGAGAATGCTGTGCTATCAAGGTCCTATCAACGACTATTTAGGAGACTCAATTGCAAGAAAAGCAAAACAGATCAAGATCCACGGTAAGGAATCAATCAAATTACAAAAAACAACAGAGCAGTAGAGGTAATAGAAGTTTCCATGGTGTATTGAAAACCCAAATTATCTCAACTAAAGCCAAAAAGAAGCGGAGTTATTGGCAAAAACTCAAAGTGGGCGTATAGAAAGCTGACCTGTAACTGGGAGGGAAAAGAACAAGCAGGTATTACGTTAGATAAGCCGGGAATCTGAGCAAAAGCAGATGCGAAAAGGAGAGTGGAGGAAATAGGGAATGAGAACGATGCAGCGAAGCAGGAAATGTGAATGGATACGATTTGGGCTTTATGGCAATCGTATTTATCTAAAAGCAGTTTTCAGGAGGCAAGCTTCTCCCTATCCGTCTAATAAGAAAGACGTACAAGGCTTTTGTATTTGACTCGCATGATTGGTGGGAAATTCTCTGGGCAGAAGACGGTGTTGTTAATCGTGGGCCGTCGGATTGGGGTGGCATCCAAAGGCGAGTGTTGACTTTTGCGTTTAGCGAGAGAAGGAAGCGCTGTAGTAGTTTGCTTGCAAAGGTGGCGAAAGGCTGCGAGGAACCAAATTGACGTAATCATTAATCATCGTTGTAATTATGATTATGATTATAAGGGTGTTCGGATAAAAATCAAACTATGATTTTAAAAGTGTTTTTACGATTTACAAAATAAATATATGAAAGAGTTTGTCTTGTTTTGCAGAAAAACACTTCTTGAAAACAAACACTCCTATGATGATGAATGATACTCCTTTTGGCCAGTTTCCCGATGGCCTTGTTCTGCCTTTCTTGCGCTCCCAAGTCTCCTGAGGTTTTGTGCACGCCAAAATGAATGAACAACTTCAGACTAATTCGATGCGTTTTGGTCTTGCCTCCCTCCTCTCAACAGTGTATTAGCTGTGAAACTTCCCGCATGTTTCCGAATCCCAATATGCCCACTACTAAGTATGTTCTCAACCCCTTCTTTTCAAAACTGTTTATTAATTTAATTAATTGCTAGTTGTAACTGTAGGTGCCTTGTTGACTAAAATTGACTGCAAATAGTTGTACCGACTTGAGGTTATTTGGAATAGCTTAAAAGGAGATTTTTAAACATACAAGACAGGTATAAGTATATAAAATGAAGTTTTATCCCACTTTATATATGAAATCACAAATCCAAACAAATATTTGTTTTGATTTATCTTCATGTTCTTCAATTATAAACTCAAAATAAGATAGAATAATGATCCAATTCATAAAAATAACTCATCAATATAACTAGACGTAAAAAAAAAAAGAAATTAAAGAGACACCAAACAAAAGTGAAAAATAAAATCTCCCCTACAGTGGAATGACCGTCTGGATATGATTTTATTTTGGGCTCTCATGGAGAAGAGAAAAGAAAGGAAGGCGGGATGAAATGAGCTCAAAAGGAAAGAGAGGGGTTTTTTTTTTTGGGGGGGGGGGGGACTTGGTTGGAAGTGCATTTTGTGCGGTGCAGAAGGGAAAAGCAAAGTGGCAATCAAACAGCGAGGCACTCGCAAGTGTCAACAGTTGGGAGTGATTAAAGTTCAAACAAATACTAAAGAAACAAAAAAGTGATGTCATGCACGTATATAAGTACGAAGTTCCCACTTGAGTCTGTCTGGCTGCGATAATTTTAAGGCTGGCCCACCCCTCCCTGCGTCCTATTCAGCCTTTCAAAAAGGCCATTCGATGTCAGGCCCCAACCCACCAATCACACATTCGCAAAAACCTTCATGGGTCCCACAAGGTAAACACCACTACGATTGTGATCCCTAATCAAGATTAACACTAATTACTCATCCGTCCTAAATATAAGACCATTATACTAATGTGTATACGAATCTTATATTTAGGATCAGAGTAATTTGCCCTCCCTGGTAAAAGCAACGATGACAAACTACCGACTCAATTAATAATTAAGCTGTACTATGTAGAGGTTTGGATTCCTTTTGAAACCAGTTTTTAGAAAAAACGGGCACATACACCGGTGCTTCGTCTTCTCTAGTCACATAGGCAGCACCGGAGAGATAGATCGTGAGCCAATTCTAGTCGCATCTCTTTTCACCTGTAATTACGGACATAAATATAAAAAAGATTTGGGAGTTTAACCACTGTTAAGTGCAAAAGGGCAGGAAAAAAAATAAAAGAAGAGATTAAGGGGGTGTTTGAATGAAAACCAAAACATAGTGTCAAAAGTATTTTTATGATTTACGAAATAAATACGTGGAGAAGTTTATCTTGTTTTACAGAAAAATGTTTTTGAAAAGTTCTTTTTAATTTTGCCAAACGCCGGAATGAATTACTAATTAAAGCGTAGGAGAATGGGGAATCTCACGCCATCAAACTTTCAAGCGAGGGTGGGAGTGAGCATACGATTTTGTCGTCTCTTGCTTTTCAGTGTAAAGAGTACATAGGAAGGAAGCAGCCAAGCCACTGAATTTTCGGAGACACGTCAGCCTCAGGGGAGTATTTTTCCATGGGGTCCCAGCAACGACGTAGAGGAATGAGTGTGCTCCCTTTCACCCTTTGTGGACCCCGGGTTTGTTTTTGGTCGGTTATTACTTATTAATAATTAATAATCGCCCCCGGCTTCTTTTTTTTTGGGGGAAAATGACAATAAAATATCACTTGAATTCCAAAAAGACAAATAAGGCACCTGAATAAGTAAAATGACAAATAGGGCACTGGGTACCAATCTGGAATTCATATTTTCGGCCAAAAGACCAAAATGCCCTGATGAAATGCGAGAAGACAGACGCTGAAAGTGAGAGAAAGGATAGAGGAAGACCGACGCTGATGAAATGCGGGAAGAAGGAAAGAAGAATGTTGGAAATGCTATTATTTTACTCCTTCGCATCACTATTCTGTAGAGATTGTTGATTTTGGTTGTGGGAAAGAGGATTTGTAGTGAGAGAGGGAGTGAACCGAAGCGGAAATCAGAAAACAATGGCAAGCAATTACGTAACATTATTGCTGTCATATGCCTGCTGGTTTTTGGTAAATCCCACTACGTGAATGGTAAATTTCACTATACATGTAGTTAATTATGAAAGTTAATAGTTCAATGTTTATTGTGACGTACTTCAAATGCACGTTCACTGAATGATTTATTTATGCTTATAAGTTGCCTTTCCGGTGAAAACAGGTTTACAAAACTCATTGAAGAAGTAGTCACTTTCACTATAAAAGTTGTAAATCCCAGTATATGTTTTGTAAAATTCAACGTGAAATTGTATTGGTTTTTACAAACAAGTTGCTCATCCCTTGAAAACATGTTGCAAAAGCCATTTAAGAAGTGGTCATTTTCACTATAAAAGTTGTAAATATCACTGTGTGTTTTGTAAAATTCAGCATGAAATTTTATTAATTTTTAGAAACAAGTTACTCATCCCCTGAAAAGAGGTTGCAAAACTCATTTAAGAAGTGGTAATTTTCACTACAAAAGTTGTAAATATCACTCTATGTTTTGTAAAATTCAGTATGGAATTTTATTGGTTTTTAGAAACAAGTTACCCATCCCCTGAAAACTGGTTGCAAAAGCCATTTAAGAAGTGGTCATTTTCACTATAAAAGTTGTAAATATCACTGTGTGTTTTGTAAAATTCAGTCTGGAATTTTATTGGTTTTTAGAAACAAGTTGTCCATCCCCTGAAAACTGGTTGCAAAAGCCATTTAAGAAGTGGTCATTTTCACTATAGTGGTTGTAAATTTCACTATACATGTAGTTAATTATGAATTTTACAAAATATATTGTGATTTACAACTTTTATAGTGAAAGTGACTACTTTGTTAATGGGTTTTGCAACATGTTTTCAGGAGATAAACAACTTGTTTGTAAAAACCAATAAAATTTCACGTTGAATTTTACAAAACATATACTGGGATTTACAACTTTTATAGTGAAAGTGACTACTTCTTCAATGGGTTTTGTAAACCTGTTTTCACCGGAAAGGCAACTTATAAGCATAAATAAATCATTCAGTGAACGTGCATTTGAAGTACGTCACAATAAATATTGAACTATTAACTTTCATAATTAACTACATGCATAGTGAAATTTACCATTTACGTAGTGGGATTTACCAAAAACCAGCACGCATATGACAGCAGTTACGTTACGTAATTGCTTGCCATAGTTTTTTGATTTTCGCTTCATCTTTCCCACAGGTTCATCTTTCCCACAGCTTTACATTCTCTGAAAATGGTTTTATGCAAAGAACAAAGACAGAACCAAAATTTTTTAGAGAAATGCTAGGCAATAACATTTTAAGCTGTGGGAACCCATCGAAAATCAGCGTCTTCCTCTCTCCTTCCTCTCTTCTTCCCGATTTCATCAGCGTCTTCCTCCTCTCTCCTTCCCGTATTTCATCAGTGTCTTCCTCTCTCCTTCCTCTCACTTTCAGACAGGGCATTTTGGTCTTTTAGCCAAAAATCTGAATTCCAGATTGGTACCCAGTCCCCTATATGTCATTTTGCTTATTCAGGTGCCTTATTTGTCTTTTTGAAATTCAGGTGGTATTTTATTGTCATTTTCCCTTTTTTTTGGGGCGTACGTACTTTAGTTGCGTCGCGTCGCGTCGCTTTGACCTTTTGAGACTTGGATGGGATCTTTAGGACAATGAATGCCGCTTTTGAGATGAGATCCAGTGTTCTTTTCTCTGCAATTTCGAAGATATCGCATCCAACCACAAACAATGCTCTAATAACGGCAGCTCTGCACTCAAAAGGATATGACCAAAATTGCCTGAATATTCCTCCCGCTCCCTAGCTAGTCTTAAAAGACTTGAACCTTTATCCTGCCGCCTGGAATTTTGAAGATAGGTGGAAGAGACAAAATAACGGACGCATACATTGAATTTGAAGCTGGGTGGTGGTGACAGGTGGCTGTCTGCCTCCCCATGACTTTGTCTGGCTAGAAGGTGGTGATTATGTACATGAGTATGCTTTATAGGTGCCATTAGCTAGGAATAGAATGGTTGGTATAGTTGAGTTTGAATCGTAACTACCAGACGGAGACTTGCGTAAGCAAAATACTAGTTTTGAACGGAGCTCTGGGTAGCATCAAGAAGGGCTGCGGCGGAGTAATGCAGAGAGAGGGATGGAGAATAAGAAGATGCAAAAGGCGTTAAGCGAGGAGTACTCAGATCATCAGATGGGACCGCTGTACGTGGGATGGCGGCCAAGGAGAAAACGTTTACTATGAAAGCCTCTCCCGTACAAGATGGGCTCCCTGAGGCTTACCAGTGGAGGGCCTGGGCCTGGGCCTGGGTTGGGCTTGGATCCCATTTCTCCACGCCCAACTTCCAAACAAAGAAGGAAAAGGGAAAAAATATAAAAATTAATGGCTGGGAGAAGGGAGCACGGAAGGAAGAGCAAAGACGCGGTATTGGTGGAGAGTGGAAGCTCCACTACGGTCTACGGATTATGCATTGTGGGCGTTCTTTATCCAGCTTAGCTTGACGTGACGTGACGGTCTGCCCTTTCGCTTCCTCCGTCTGCTTTGGCCTTTTACTCGTCAAATAAATGGAATATGATGCGGAATATTCCCCCGAGTCTTTTCCTCTCTTTGTCGGTCCCGCCAAATAAACCATTCAACGTCGCCATGCCCTGGTAATTTTGGCACGAGTATGTCAAATTAACCAAAAAAAAAGAAAGTTGTCCTTTAATCACCCAATTGCCAATAGGCATGGCTTGTTTTTACTAACCCCAACAACGGACATCGAAGTTGATGAAGCCGTCGCCTACCGCTTATGAATACAGAAATCAAATTTGGCGGCTCAACCAGATGGCTTCTTGTGAATGATAAAAGTTAACCAGCGGAAGCAAACAAAATCAGGATTCCAAAATGCATTTCCACAAAAAGGCCCCAGCGGACATTATCTCTCTCTTCTCATCAAACAAGGCCCAAATCCCCCCCAAAAAGAATAGCACCACATCAGACTTTTCGCACATGGCTAAAACTGGGAGACCTGGTTGACGGCGGGTGGAGCTTCTCTCCTCTGCCCCTGCCATTCACTACCCCTCCTCTACCCTTCAACGACGTCGCTTGGACTAGTTTAAGTTGTGCCTTTCATATCAGTTTCAAGTTCCGCGGCACTTCTTCGTTCTTTTTCGCGCGTCCTGTTCTTTTTCCCCCAGCAGCACCTCCGTTGTTCAGCCATCGAGCCAGACTTGACTGAATTTCACACATCCCGTTCATCTTCCTCTAGCAGCGCAGGAAAGTCGAATGTGCTGGTGGGAAAAATTTTCAGAGAAGAATTCTGGCAAGGGGGTCTATGGGTACTGCCTAAACTGTTCTACTCAGCATCAACAAGCATAAAAATCATATATCTCATGCACTCAAACCTCAAAGCAGCAAAGAATTTAAGGTCAAAGCAGCATTTTCCAGGATCCTGATAGATTATAGATTGTTCGGTGAAATAGCCAAACAATCATGCGTTTTTTTTTAAATAATACTGAATTCATTCAAAAGCTAAACAACAACAGCAAGAAGTCAGGTCCAGTTTCCTTCATAAAATTTATGTAGTTCTGCCATGAGAGCAAACATAAAATTTCCAAATCTTGCAACTAATTCCAACTAGTTTTCAGGTTTGGTACAAATGATTGTGTGAGAGACCCCTACTTAATCTCAAAGGAAATTGGAAACAGCATTACTCACATGGCTCTTTCTCTTCCACGTCCTCCTCGATCTTTATATACGTGTCACAATTTTTTATGGTAATAACAAGCCTTTTTATGACTTTTTTTTTTTAAAAAATTATTATCTAACTTGATCACCTATAGCGAGAGAGAGATAGAAACTTTGTCCAGTACCTTATATTGTCCTCAGGCGTCAAAAAAATACGAGAAGTTCATCAAAGCACGCAGCTTTTGCCTGAAAGTCTCATATGGCAATATAAAAATATCCACACTAAAATGTGATGGGATATGAAAAAAAATAATTATGATATTTCATACCCCATCAAAATGTGTGGCATCATTCATCAATATATCAGTATAGTGTTCTCACAACTGAAATAATCGTTCATGACCTCCTCAAAATTCTGCTCTTTTAAGCAAAATGTGGGCACAAGTAAAAGATTAAATATGAAGAAACACGAAATTACTTTTCCAGATGAAAAGGTGCGAGATTGTAGACTGACCCGAGCTCTTCCCCTATACAAACACGGCACCATAATAGAATGAATACAAGTGAAAATTAGCAAAAGAGCGCTCAAAAGAGGAAATTATCTTTCGAAGAAGTTGTAAAATGGTACATTGAAACAAAGCAAAACAGCACCCAGCCAATGTAACAGAGCACCTTATGCCGAGTCTACCTCTATGGATTCCAAAATTCAATCGAAGAGCTTGATTGAAGCTTTTAATAGGCGAGAGAGGAAGATGCCAGAAAGTTGCAGCTTTGGAGTTGCTCGCTTCACCTGGGCCATTAAGTGAAATCTGGGTGGGTCGTTGAAGAGCGGAGGCGCTGCCGGGGAAGAATGGGATGCCCGAAAGGAACGAAGAGGTGCGCGGAACTTGAAACTAATATGTGAAAGCATCATTTAAGTTAGTCAAAACGACGTCGTTCAAGTTAGGGGAGGCGTAGAGAATGGGGAGGGTAGAGGAGGGAAGCTGGACCAGTTGACGGCTAAGCTGGGAAGACAGGAAGGAGATAGTGACTGGTCCCTCTCTACAGAAACTCTCTGATGAAGGAGGAAGACCCTGTAGATTTAGAGCTCTTCCCCCGTTACTTTCAGAGACGAAAATCATTGGTGGAGGATAAAGTTGCGGACTTCGTCGGGCTTCAGGTTTAATGGATTGTATGTAAAGATGTTTTGGGGCAACTGTTTTTGCGGCGATTCTGCTTCTCACCTTCCCTCTCACCCTCAGCCCTTCTCCCTCCCTTCACCTCTTCCACCGTGGCCTCCAGGTTTCTGATTGTTGCTGTTATTTTTATTATTTCTATTCCCTTGCTCATCTCTCCCTTTTTTTTTTTTTTTTTCAAATACAGTTTTTTCTCTGCACACACAGCATCGATTACACTTATCAACTGCATTTTGCATGTACTTTATTAATCGTTATGCTTACCATGCAATATATTATTTTGCCGATGTTATCTGCCATCATAATTTCTAGATTCCCATTGTCAAGTTTCTTGGCTTCAGAAGGCGATTATCTCGTCTGTCGGAACGTATAATTGCCGGGCTTCCTTTTGTTTTGTTTTTTTTTTTTTGGGGGGTGGCGCCTCACCTTTGATGGATGTTGAATTACCTTTGAAAAACACTGATTCACCAATCTGATGTCTCAACTGGGATCATCCGAATTCTCTGCATCCGAAATTGCCAGGGTTTACTTTCCACTTTTGCTTGTAATGGTGGAAACAGCTAGCTCATATTATTGCCGATCAGCTAGTAGAATAAACGATTGAGGTCTAATTCGGGAAATCATTAGTCGATTCATTTCTCGATATCCATGTTTCTCTAACGCTGCAACCTTATCAAATGTTTTTGGTTTCATCATTTATTATATCATTCATTTCAACCTTTTCTGAACGATCTGGCTCAGGTGGTAGCTTTGCTAGTGGAAGAATATGCCTCGGAGAAATAGAAGTCTTGAGCATAGACAAATTTGAGAGAGTTTGGAGCTACGATGGCTTGCATGCGAGACCTGAGGGTGTTACTTTTTATAGACCCGTGGAGGTCCCCGATGGCTTTTCCTGCCTTGGTCACTATTGCCAGTCCAATGATCAGCCATTGAGAGGATATATTCTTGTAGCTCGTGAAGCCACTTCTTTTGAACTTCAAGCTAGTCATACCCGTGGCTCGTTGTTAGAATCTCCACCTCTGAAAAAGCCCCTAAACTACTCATTAATATGGAGCTCTGATTCACGACATGATGGATGTGGTTACTTTTGGTTGCCAAACCCTCCAATGGGATACAAAGCCATGGGTATTATGGTCACTACCAAACCAGAAGAACCTAGTCTTGAACAAGTTAGATGTGTGAGAGCTGATCTCACAGAAACCTGTGAGGTCAATGATGTATTATTAGCCGTTAATTCCAGGTTTTCAAGAATCCTTTTTCAGGTTTGTAATACAAGACCGAGGAAAAGAGGTTCGCTGGGAAGAGGTGTATCTGTCGGGACATTCTTCTGCAGCACCCACTTTGATCCCGAGCAAGAGATAGATATCTCATGCTTGAAGAATCTTGATTCCACCTTAAATGCAATGCCAAATCTCAACCAGATTCATGCACTTATTGAGCATTATGGGCCCACTGTATTCTTCCATCCTGATGAAATATATCTGCCATCATCAGTTCAATGGTTTTTCAAAAATGGAGCCCTTTTATATAAAGATGGCAGTGAGTGGGGAGAAGCCATAGATTACAAGGGCTCCAATTTACCTAGAGGAGGGACAAATGATGGTGCTTTTTGGATAGATTTACCTAGTGATGATGACAAAGCCAGAAATGATCTAAAAAGGGGGAACATTGAGAGTGCAGAACTCTATGTTCATGTAAAACCAGCTTTGGGAGGAACATTCGCTGATATTGCAATGTGGGTTTTCTGTCCATTCAATGGAGCTGTCACCATCAAAGTAGGATTTCTGAACATTGCAATGAAAAGGATAGGAGAGCATGTGGGGGATTGGGAACACTTCACGCTTCGCGTGAGCAATTTCACAGGAGAGCTATGGTCTGTTTTCTTCTCTCAGCATAGTGGGGGTGAATGGGTAAATGCGTTTAATTTGGAGTTTATAGAGGGGAATAAACCAATCGTTTATTCATCAAAAAATGGGCACGCTAGCTTCCCTCATCCAGGGACTTACCTTCAGGGATCATCCAAACTTGGAATTGGAGTGCGTAATGATGCAGGTAGAAGCAATCACTTTGTGGATTCAAGCATCAAATATCAGATTGTTGCAGCTGAGCATCTGGGTGATGAGGCCATTGAAGAGCCATCTTGGTTGCAGTACATGAGAGAGTGGGGTCCTACCATCCTTTACGATTCACGTTCTGAAATCAAAAAGATGATCGATCTGCTTCCGTTGTTTGTCAGATTTTCATTGAAGAACATTGTTGAACTGTTTCCAACAGAGCTTTACTGTGAGGAGGGGCCAACTGGTCCAAAGGAAAAGGCTAATTGGTTAGGAGATGAAATATGCTTCACTTGACTATCACCGCATCACGGATACATTTTCAGACTACCTATGCCTCAGATTGTTGTTGTAAGTTATAGATACGGTTCTTGTGGGCATAAAAGTTATGAAACCCGTTGAGAGGTTGCTAGGAATATCCAATGCAACATAAACAGAAATACTAAATGCGAAAATTTGCCATGGAGGCGAGGGCATCTGTGAAGTAGGCGGGGGAGTGTAATGAGACTATCAGGATATGGTGAAGGAATATTGAGAATGTAAATAAATTATATATCGTCATGATTCGAGCACTTGTCTGTAATCCAAGTATTCCAAGATGGTTTTACATATCTAGTTTAAATGAAAGACAAGGCTTCAATTTATAATTGAAGTCTTTATTGGCTCTTTCTGTTCACCTAGGGTAGAGTTGGGTTTCACCGAGACAATACCGCGAATTTGCTCGTTGGTCATGTGCGGTTCCAAACACCCCCAAAAAAAAAATCATTCAAAAATCTCAAAATTCTGTAAGGTATCATAAATTTCCATGATGAACCCAAAATGAAAAATAGATCAGCAACTGTAATCAAACTGTATAAGGTTTCATTTACATTAGGCATGACTCGCTGTAGACGAGTTAACCTTCAAGCCACGCCAGCAATTAGAAGATAGTCCCACAGAACATGAGCGTAACCATACAATTTCTTCAAAAAGATTTTGAACATGAAGCCCAATCCATTTACAGCTATAAATATTACAAAAGAATATATATTGACCTCGGGACATTAAACATTTACAACAAACAGATGCATTGGTTAGTTAAAATATCAACGGATAAAATTATATCATCCTTCACCTTATTGCTCTTCCATCTCTGTACTTCAAGTCCTCCCATCTGATCTCTTGGGCGCATTCCCCACAGACCGTACTGCAACCAAATTTAGTGCCTTGACTTCTAAGCGTCAGCAAGTGTGAAAGGTTGGTGCATTTGCGGGTCACAAAACGGCTCCTCACCCTTGTTGGTGAAAGGCTGCGGGATTTTGATGCAGGGGGTGCATTATTCGGCTCTTGGGGCTTTTGAACAGGCAGAGATTCACCCAGTGGTACTCTCTGCACTTCCTCCCATTCTAACGTTTTCCGGTATACTTCCCAAGCCATGTCTTGCTCCTCTTTTGATAGCTTTTCTTCTTCATTTTCTTGCAACAAGGTTTCGTGTTCATGATAATTGGCAATCCACCTTTCAAAATATCACATCAGATGACGTCAGATGCCCAGATAAGTCTCTGTCTCTACATAATACTGCTACTACAGATACAAACTTGTTCAGCTTAACTGTCCAAGCCTAATAAGAAAATTACCATATTGATATCTCTAATTTATCACTGCCATCAACTCAGTTCTTACAAGTTAATTACCATCACAATATACGAATGTTTTAAAGCGTACGTCAAATAAGTCCTGATGCGATGATCGTCAACTAAATGTCAAAAGAGCTGCCCATGTCGCCCCAAATATGCTCAGTATGAAAGTTATTAACTGAATTTGGCACCCTATCTAGCATTTCGATCAATATATTCTAAAAAATCATCACCGGTATAAGCCAGCTTAGAAGACAATGTTTTGGTGGTATAAGCTCAGCTGCATATAGACTCCTTGGATTTATATGTTACTGAAAAATGAAAATCCAGCTTATTAACTAATTCGCTGTTGCTTGTAAAAGCTGTACCTAGCAGCAGAGGATATATCTTTGTGGTATGTACTCTCGCGAGAAACAGATTCAGATAAAAGGAAAGAAAATGGAAGCACTCTAATCTCTCACTCACAGCAAGAATCTTGCCACAAATAAGAGAATAGCCCAAGAGAATCTCTGAAATAATTGCACTGAAATATTATTTGTCTCACTCCTTGCTAAACAGGGGAGCTCACACACACACATAATGACTCTGCTAACAAGAAAACAACTGACTCTCCCTACAATCTCATGATAACAATGAAATAGGAAATATGGAAAGACTCATCCTGATTCATGACTAACTAACTAGCTCACTTATTCTGCTAACGGACTCCATAAACATAAAAACTGAATTAAATAAAATGAGACCAGGTCAGCTTGTTAAACTGAATCCCTCTTATGTCACCTCTGATAAGTCACGCCCCACTTATTGGAAGTCTTATCACTTTGCGTGGCAAAATTTTGAGAATTTATGTAAAGAAAAATCCCACTCAATTATAATTTATTTGTTTCAGATCAAGCCAAACATACTTAATCATAACAAAACAATGAAATATAATAGCTGCAAGTCCAGAAAACCTACTTGGGATGATGCTTGCTAAGTAAGCTTTCCATTAGCTTATCGGAATGGCTGGTTCCATTTGAATGTGGGATCGTTTGTTCCAATGAATGCCCATTCTCTTGGCTCAGTTCAGCCAACGTCTCAGGGTTTTCATCATCACCAAACTCAAAGAGATGTAACATCTCTTCTTTAGATATAGTCCTGTACACTTGCTGTCTGTCAACCACTCTAGCAGCAAGCCCCTCCTTTGTTACCTATACGGACCATTTCACTGTCATTAGAATGTCACAAACATCCATAGAAGGCAAATCACATTCCGTTACCTGGCGCTTATATATTTTCTCTTCCATAGTTCCATGAGCCAGCAATCGGTAAGCAAACACAGGCTTTCTCTGGCCATACCTGCAACATGGAAAAGATTTCCAAGCATGACCTTGATCAACTGATAGAACACTAAACTTTTGTGAATAACCAAATTGTATGAACCTTAGTGCGTAGTTTGATTGAAGAAAATCATATACCTATCGCCTTATTAATAGAAACCAGCACACTTGTTATATTTTGATCAAGGTACATGATAGTAAAGATATAAAGAACTGCATTTAAGATTTTTCCTTTAAAGATTCCTTTCCATAATGAAACCATACAAATTATTCTGAGCCAAGTCACTAGTAAAGATAAGCCGCCATGATTATCATAACACTCATTCACAAAGGTTTGCCATCTTTTTCCTCCTTTGTCATGCCAGGCCGCTGCCACTAAGCATGCTTGTTGGAAGTTGGAATCAAAATCCCCGATTGAAATTGGGATTTTTGAACTTTGAATGGTGAAATTAGTTGTATTTTTTTAAAATTCTAATTCTTTGTAGAATGATGAAATTAATTGATGATGAAAACATAAAAGAAACGTTGAAAGAGATAGAGGTTGCCTGAATGCAACAACAGAGGAAGAAGAAAGAATTGATGCTTCTGGTCATGCCACAAGGAAGATTAATATCTTATATACAAAAGTCTCTAGCTCACCTCCAAGCTCGATAGATGGCCTGGAGATCGTATGTTGGATTCCAAGAACCATCAACTATAACAACACGATTAGCTGCATGGAGATTAATACCCAAAGAACCAGCCCTTGTTGAAATAAGGGAGCACTTCACTCTATTATTGGAAGGCTCATTAAACCTCTCAACCAGCTTCTGCCTTTCAGAGCTCTCAGTCCTTCCATCCAGCCTGGAGATTAACAACAGGATTAAAAATAATACCCAAAATAGGGTCTATCCAATTTGCAAGTATTCATCATAAAGCTCCCATAGCAGTCAACTGAGATAAACTGTTGCAGGAAATAATTAACTTATGGTTAAAACTAATGAAAGTGTTGAGAATATCAGGAAGTCTCAATTAGACAGACACTGTACTGCAAACTGGGCAAGATAAAACAAGGAGAAATTTTCTGTGCGCGCAAGAACAGTTTATTTAAAAATAGCACATAAGGGCATACTGCTTTGCTGAGATCTCAACAACCAGAAAGAGAAAATACAGTACAACTAGCAAGAGATCTCAGTTATCATAATGCATGAACTCGCACATTTTATTACAAAACAACATCAACACAAATATATACTGTGAGAATATTTGTATAAGTAGTCTGAACAGAAGCTTTAAGCCTATATCCTATGGTGCTCCTTCAAAGACTATATTTAGGAGAGCATTGCCTAATGAAAAATTAAAGTCCAAATGGAAAATACAAAGGATCGTGTGAGACAATGACATAAAGAAAGAAATGGATTAGATGAACTATCAAGACTGAAATCTAAAAACGTAGCTGCAACTACCACAGAAAAAGATAGAAATAAACCCACACATTGAAGGATGCAAGCAAAGTGAAAATCCCAGCAGCATATCGTGGATTGGTAAAACAAAGCCACATCAAAAGACTGACAAGACTGGCAAGTTAGACAGACTAAAAGAACTGAACACACCTATACCAGTCTTTTCCCTTCTTCCAAAATTTGCCATGTTTGCCTCGTCGAAGTAATCTTGATAGATAAAGTTCTATGAGGTCTAGTGTTGGTATGCTCTGGCTGAAAACCAACACCTTGTCACCCACATCAGAACTCATGGTTAGTATGTCCAGAAGCAAAACCATTTTGCCACTGTAATCAAGTTCTTTATAATTTTTCTCATGCAGAAGATCGTTCCACCAACCCTGAAAAGTGATATGGAGCACCAACATTGAGACGACGTTGTTAAAAACATAATGAAAGGATATTTTTAAGCCAATGATGGGGACAGAATGCAATACAAAATGGTAACCAAGCAACTACGCATTTCATTTATATCTTGACGTATTGGGACTAGAACAGGATTTATCAGCTGAAACTTTTTCCTGTCATACCTTTAGAAAAAAGCCATTCTCATCTTTCCTCCGCAGAAACTCATTTGCACATCCAACCTTCTCTGTAAGGCAGGGAGTTGTCAAATGTGGCAAAACAAGCATACATGAGCATATGAATAGTATATGATATAGAGTTCCATCAGATGTATATCATGTCAAGAAAGATAGGTGATTGAGAAATGAGAAAAGAAATAAGGTTCCAACCAAACACATATCTGTTCACTAATTGATAGTTATTGGTGTATGCACACATGCTGCACTAATTAAGGTTACCTCCTCCAACAGGCACGCTATAGTCAGAATTTTCGTCACTAGAGCTGTCATCCACAAGAAAATTCTCAACAGCATCTTCTTGTCTAACATAATCCTTGTCTTCTTTTGTCAATTGCAAGATCCCGGGATGGTTCCATATCTACTACATACAATAAACTGTGTCACCATACACAGGGAGAAAACAGGAAGCAACCATAACATAGCAAATGCAAGAGACTTGCTTAAGGGAAATATATTGATGAGTAATGACAATGCTTTGCCAATTAAACCATATGCCAAATAATACAACGAGACACACACATACCTGAGCTAACGCCTGGTACCCAACAAAAAAACATCTCTTTCTCATTTTTTCATTAGAAGCCCGGTCATTTGTGAATCCATGCACATCGAGAAATCTCTTGTACAGTTTTCTCTGCAGAGGAGAAAGCTTGACGCTTATCACAAAGACAGTTTTTGGAGGCAAATCATTCTTCACCACACTCATGTCCATTCGTTGAACAAAGCCTTTTAATTGTTCATAGAGGATGTGAGACCTTTGGTTCATAATCTTCACATCATCCAGTGTAGAATTAGTATGTTGACCATTCTCTATAGGATTTTGGAAGCTGCACATAAAGAAAGAATTGTCAAAGATATTCATATGCTAAAATACTATGTTAGTATCACTGTTGTAAACTTAGAAAAATACATGGAAGAGGGAAAGATGCTTTTGTTAGCCAGAGCTTTGACTGGGAGACTTCTACTATTTTGGAGAAACAAATAGAATAAGCTAACCATAGGGGTGCTGTCATCAAATTTGGGTCTTTAAATCTTCCCTTCGGTTGAAGAGGAGAGGCGGAGAAGAATTTTGAGAAGTGCGGCTGAGGCCTTTGGATGGACAGAGCTAATCCTCTCAAAAGATTGGTAAACTTGTTATGTGTCTGTGTCCTAGAGTTCCTCTCCTTTGTGTTGTCTTTTATGAGAGTTGTGTCTGAGTGTATTGCATGTTTTGTTTGCCATGTGTTGTAGTCATCTTTTATGCAGTAAAAGCATTATTAATAAGTATTCCCATTCTTTGCTGTTTACTTCTGATTTTTAGTCTTGTAAAAGTTTGTTTAGAAGAGGGTCCTATCCTATCATACTATAACAATCAGATAGATGAGTGAAGAAAGACTTACCGATTCCTAAATTCATGACTGCTTCCAAGAAAACCTTCTCTTACAAAATCAACCATCTGATTCAGATATAATGCTGATGGGTCAAACAATAAGTACAAGGACTCAATAGTTGTCCAAGTTGTAACATCCGTGAAAACTTACACAATAATACTCCATGAGATTGTTCTGAAGAGGTGATCCAGTCAGGGCAATTCTCCTATGGCATTTTACCTGTTTCAAGGCTTGAGTTATGCCAGCCTTTATATTCTTTATCATATGCGCTTCATCACAAACAAGTATGTCTGGTCCATCCTTCAGTAGCAAGCAAATATCGTCAAATGAATGCAAATGATAATCACGTGCAACAACAGAACCAGCACACTGTGCTACCTGCAAAGCACGGCAAATTTCTCGAGCTGTGTGTCGATCTCTCACATGCTTTCCAAAAGATAAATTTCGAAAAGCAGTATAGCCAATCAGAAATATGCCACCTTTGTTTCTCCATTTTGCAAGTATTTCTGCTCTCCTATCCCTGGCAAAAGGCAAATTAAGTTGGGAACAAAATGACTTCACCAATGAGTAGAAAATGTGTGCAAAAAATGTGATCAATAGCAACCATGGAAAAAAAAAATGTTGCACTGATTGAAAAAGGCAAATTTAGAGTGGTAGAAGCAAGTTCAGTGTTCAGTGGAACGATCCTTATTATTAAGTTTTGAGTGTTGCCAAGCTACTAAATCAGTTTCAGAGTTTCATATACAGGATCGTAATGTATATGTGTCAAACGTCTATGAATATGCTCTGCTGGGACTGTTTTGGATCTTATTGAATCTAATAGAAATATAAAAATAAGCAGACCTTGATACATCTTCCAGCATGAAGACCCTGAGTGGTTTTAGTTCTGATGGCCTCCATTTGATAAACTCCTGCCGCCAATTGTGCAGCACATTGACTGGCGTGACAATAAGTGCAGTTCTTAACCCCAGGTCAGTGGTTCTCATTGCTGTGTACAAGAAAGCTATCACCTAAAATGGCCAACCAATCAGACCAAAACCATTAACCAGCAAAAATGTAAATGCATAATGTTATTTATGATTTGATATATCACTGATTGTAAATAATTAGGATGATTACGATTGATTAGTTTGCATGGATTAGGATAATTATAATTGGTTAGGGTGATTTAAATTTGTACTTATTGGCCATTATTTCCTTGCCTTGCACATCTAACATAAATAAAAATGCACATGTAAGTCAGAATTCACCAAGTTTCCGTTCTCATTTATGCTCTTTCCTTCCATGGTATGAGAACTACTAGTGACTGTCCATCATTCTTATAATTGATTGCCCTCTTCCCTTCTTTTCTCGCACCCACCACCTCATTGTGCAGTCTTATTTTTAAAGCTCAAGCTGTGCCATCAATGTCAGATGCTGCCGAGGAGTCATCTGCCATTGACTGGAGTTCCAGCAGCCACCTCACAGACCTACACATGCCACCTAACAAATATGCGCCAACAAGTGACAGCACAAGGGACACACACTTTGGCTTCTTGTTGTCCAAACTTGCTTATAAACCTTTGATCTACCTAGTCCAACCCCTCAAAATCCATGATTGGTCCTTGTTCATTTCGTTTCGTGACAATTTTTGTAGCTGTCCAGCCCTATTTCTGTTGTGTCCAGTCTCTGTTCAATGCTCACAAGGTTCTTTCTTTCCTACTAAATTCTTTTTGTAGCTGCCCTGGTGCAGCATATTGGTTCTCAAAGTGGCCTCTTAGGTCTCAAAAGTTGGCATTTTTCTCACCTATTGTAAAGGAGCTCCCATCACAGCTCTAAAAAGTTGGATTACCCTAACATTGGCTGACCTCTTTACCACTTGATGCAAGTTCAATTTAAATACCAAAAAAAAAAAGGTAAATTACAATGAATGTAACATTGCAAAAGCTAAGAACAAGATTCTTCAAATAATAAAGTGAAAATAAAATATTGTACAAAAGAAAAAGAGAAGAAAATAAATTACATAAACAATGTATACGTATACTCAGATGCAAGTGCAGTAAAGGCTCTCAAAATAAAATATAAATCCGTCACTGAGCAGCCACCCAGATGGTCGTGCAATTTTAACAGAACTAGAATTTATTCTTTAATTGTATGCACATATTAAAAGCTCCTGAATGAATAAAATACCTGAAAGGTTTTACCAAGGCCCATTGTATGAGCGAGGATACAACCAAGACCTTTATCCCCGGACTTGACTTTTCTGATTGACTGTATTATATTCTCCCACATAAATCTTATTCCTGCAATCTGCAATTGAGAAGTGAATGCTGAGTAGATGGTAGGAAAGACAAGCCAAAACAAATCCAGGTAAAAGCATTGGAGATGCTTAAGGAGGAGGCAATGCAAAAGGGCAGCACCATCACCAAAGCACATGATGCCAGGTGAGGATACGGATCATTCCTACTCCTAATACGCGTCATAACTAAACTTGTAATCGCTTCCAGCTATATCAACACATTAAGGCATGTCAGCTTCCAAGATTATAATTGACAAGGACCAAGGTAAAATGGATGCCTATGGGGCTGTTTGGTGGGCTGAAAATTGGGGGGATAGAAATGAGAGTTTGTGTGTTTTATTCTTTCTTTTTTTTCTTTTCTTATTCATCAATTTTCCTTCCCTTCCTTTGCATATAAAAAATGTCCATGCCAGAAATTTTCTCAGACTCTACAATGCACGAGGACCCATCTAGTTGTTTTCTTATAAGATTTGGTATCCATTACCGAAAAAAGGAAAAGAAAGAAAAGAAAAAAGTTGCAAAGGATCTTGGTGAGGACAAGCATAAACAAAAGTCAAAACCAGAAGGCACAACGGAAAAAATACACAGGAAATAAACATATTAACCAAACTCAGAAAGTGCAAACACATAATATAAACCTGATGAGTTTTCAGTTTAGCTGATATACTAGGAGGAATTCTGACAGCTTCTTCACCTTTTTCCCTCACAACATTTACTACATAGCCTGTTAATGCGTCACCAAGGACTTCAGAACTTGCACCTTCTGATAAATTCCCCTTATACCCAGAAGAGCCCATGATGTTAGATGAGGCAGAAAACTGCACTCGCAAAGACTCCAAACGTTCCTGACGCTCCTATAATGACGGAAAGAATGATAAGCAATCAAGAAGACAGAAGTAGGTTGGGCATAACACACCAAACAAACAAAAGGCAACCTTTTCTATCGCAATTTTCCTTTTTGTTTCCTCTCCTAATTCAGCATCATCAAGGATCCTCCTAATCTTCTTTTTGCGCTTTCGCTTAGAACTGGTTTCCAAAAATTTAAAAAAAAAAAAAAGGACATTTCATAATAATAATAATAAATATCTCAATTCATCAGGGGCTTTTAATGAAGCAAACGCACGAATAAACAAGATTAGCCAAATAAAGGGAGGGAAATCAACGACCAAGAAAAGTTTTGTCAATAAATATTTCAAATTGATACATACACTCTTAAAATAAATGGATTTCAGAAAGAACGAACATAAACTTGTCAAAAACTTGTCAAAAAAAATGTACACAGGCAAAAGCATTAATTGCTAAGACCTCAACTTGTGTAACTTAAAAGCCTTGATGGCCAGAAAATCTACGCCTTATGTGCCTGTCAAATAGAAAAGTAAATAATAGAACATAGACCAAGCCAATGATGCATTGAACAATTCTATTTTAAATAAAAATAATACGGTAAAGGCAATCATGTTGAATTCACATTCAAAATCAGCATCCTCAGGAAGAGGAAAGACATTAATACAAGTTGTGCTCCTGATTGCAAATAAGATTGGGAAAATTCAAGAAATCACTTATATAGCAATTGAAATGAGATGAGATGAAGCTTACATGGTATCCACAAATTAAACAATTAAAATTTATAGGATCAATGCACCTGATTGTAACATTAGTCTCTGCATGTGAATTATCCGAATCACTACTAGAGCTGGAAACTGATGTTTCAACAGATCCCATAGCTTTCTCTAGTTGTGATGATAGTCTTTGCAAGAGATTTGGGTGGCAGCAATAACAATGCCAACCAGTGGCCTGAACTTCAGAAAGGAATTCTGCACCAAGATTCTTCCTTATGCAATTGTTGCAGAACAACACTTTGCATGACTTGCAGCTAACTAATTCATTGCTTCCCCCACACCATGCACAATAACACTCGGAGCAATCAGGATTGAGATCCTGAGACAACACATTGGCTCAATAAATTTTCCAATTAGAAGGCAACAGGCAATAAATGAGACATTTGCGGCATTTCCAAATACAGTACGTTAAACTATACATAGCAGGCCAGCATAAAGCCAAATTTAAAGGCTTTTTGTAGAACTCTCCAATTCAAAAAATTTCATCATCTATAATTCTAATTCTAATTGTTCTGGAAATTTTCCTCCCCCCCCCCCAAAAAAAATAATTATAGAAATTATAATGTCGTGAGCTTCAAATTCTCTAGTCTTTATTGATTCTGATTCTCTCCCCTCTGGTCACGGTATGAGAGCTTACACACATGACCCTTCTAGTAATTTTACAAAAATCATTTTTATTTCCTTACTCATTCTCCTACAAGGGAAGGATTTGTTCTTGAGAAGTCAACTTGGAGATTCAAAGACCCTTCTGTGGTGAAATCCAACATTTGGAAAACAATACTAGATAAGATAAACATAAATGACATGCTGCAGGTCTGATGGCCGCTTTGGACTCTTTCCCTCAGTATAAGTGCAATGAATAGATCTGAACCAGAACATTTGCGCTCCCTTATTCCTTCACCGTCCATGCCAAATAAGGACAGCCCAGGTTTGACAACTGAATCATGTGAAGATCCCATCAATAGAAGGGATCTAAACCAGATATATCCTTATATTTTCAAGGATATGCCTTTATATTTAATATTTCATGGGGGTAGAGGTGTTTATATGGCTGGCCTTTGATGCTTGGCTCACAGGCACTTGAAGGGAGTCTACAATTCTAACATCCGAAGCCACTGGATAGCTCCACTACGTTAGTTTTAAGCTTATTAGAATTTTTTTAATACCATTCATTTTTTTTGTATTCATTGATTTATTTCATTTTGAGGGTTTTTCACGCTTAACACTTCATATTTTCCCCTCTTCCGAAGAAAATTTCTGTTTTACCCCAAAAGAAGACAATTAAACATATCAGGGAGGTCGATAAATCAAAAACTTGTAATCAAACTTCTAAAACAAATAGCTATATTTACTAATATTCTAAATCTGAAACGTGCACTGAATAACACATTTTAAGGAAAATTCACTTGAAAACACTATTGGTTTTCCATCCATACCTTCACACGTTTCTTTTCTTCCATTAAAGAATTGCAATCCCAGCAAATAATAACTTCCAAAAGAGGATGTTGGTGAACTTCAAGAGCCACTTTATCACAAACAGTGCAGCAAAACTTCTTGTCCAGGTGCTGTGAAGGAAGACTATCAGCAATGCTAGCACAAGTGCCTTGCATCTCAGACTGATTATCTAATGCATTTGTATCCCTAACTATATTATTTTCAACTGCATCAGCTTCATCACCACTGTTAATAGTGACAGTCCGACCCTTTTTCGTATCACTATACTCTTCACCATCATTTAGTCGCTTGGTACCTCTTTGTTCAACATCAGGCAATGAAGATTTAGAGAGCTCTGACAAAGGGCCAATATTCATAGGCTTCACTTTGTCAAGGTCATAAATGCCACCCAGATCTTCAATATTATCATTCTTCATATTCAGACATTCAACTTCATTGTTAGCCACCTTTTCACTATCATCACAAGTTTCTTCCTTGAGACTCTCTATGGTTTCCCTCTGAAATAAATTCAGAATCAGAGATAGGATATAATAACAAAGTGCAAAAATAAGATTAATTCAATCACAGATAGGTCACATGGTTACTCAATACCACATTATAGATTAACGGGTCTTAAAAACCCTATCACAACATCACTGGTCTGAAATTTTGAATAAACCCTATTTGAGTTGAGTGAAATGAGATATTAATAAGCACCAATTACAATATATCCTTTTCGTAAAATTAAATTAAATATTTAAAAAATAACAGTATCCCTCAATAGATATGAAAATATCATCCAATTTACGGGTCAACCAGACACAAAATGGGAAATCATGGTTATAAAATTCACCTGTTTTTTATTCTTCCGATACCTCCTTCGTTTTAAATGGATTTGAAGCTTCCGATCAACAATTACATCATCTTCTTCTTTGACCTATCAAATTCATGAGAATTGCATAATCAGATCCCTGATGAAAGGTAAAAATTGCTGAAATGAGATACTAGTAAATACAAAGAACCGAAATATCATGTCAGTAATAAGAAGGAAGGTAAAGGGGCATATGTTGGCATGATTATAGCAAATGGAGGCAGGGCCAATACCTCTAGCCGATCAAATATATATTTTGCTTAAAATAAAATGAGACAATGCTAAGAAAAATGAAAAAGGAGTTAAACTACAGTGTGCCACTAAAAAGAAAATAAATCCACAAATTAAATACCTTGCACGGTATAAACTGAGACAAAACAAAAATGGCATTCAATTGCATTGATTAGTTCATTCATGACAGTGATAATTAAAAAGAAAAACCACCAACATATTTTCCAGGCATTTCAATAAGTAGCATGTTCCATTTAAAATAATTAGCATCCCAGGTAAAATCATGTCCAAGAGTTTAAACAATAACCTTTACAAATCATAGGCCGCAAAACATCTCTAACCAACATGATAACAGTCAATCGTGAGCATTGTAATTTTCCTACTACTAGTACATCAACAAAACGTAACAACTGGTGCCCGCTAATCTACTACAGCTTTTTAACAAATGGACAACAGCATGTTGGCTCAAAATCCACAGGACAAGTAACATCTTCCACTGATCCCCCCATCTACTCTCCATTCTTTGTAATTATTGGATATAAAACAATTGTCAGACGCAAGTAACGTACCAAATCAAACTATTAAAGAAGCTTTAACAATGCTCCCATAAAATAAATCTATAGGTGTGATAAAACCCAATTTTTATATATTTTATCCCACATTAATTCAGAATTTAAATGATAATTTTGAGCTTAATTAGATTTTTTATGCATTATTGGATAAATTGGTTGATTTTTGGATTTTGCATAAAAATTGAGATTTTGGATTAAAAATATAAATATTTTGTGATTTCCTATTTTGACTTGGAATTAATTTTTCCTATTTCTTTAAAAACAAGTCTCATATTTTTAGAAAGATTATTTTTAGAAAGTTTTGCACTTTCTTGCCTAATTTTTGTGCAGATTTAATATTTAATTTTTAATTATATTTGGATATAATCTACATTAATAGATGCACTTAAATTCTTGTAGGTCAAGAATTTGTATATGGGAAATCCAATGGTGTAAGATTGTTTCTTGGAATCTAAACACAATCCAATGGCTAATATCAAAGCAAGGATTCCACGCCCAGTATCCGAAGAGAGAGATCACGTTGAGAGGCGGTCAAAGAATTTTATTCACTTCTTCATTATACTTGTGCAGTGCCCATATATTCCGAGGATTCACGTCACGTGGAGGGGAGGATTGAAACAATTATTTCACTCTCACACTCATCTTTTCGCTTGCGCAAGGACCCACTCCGTCTCCACATAATCATCCTCTTTCTCTTCTTTACTCCTCATGGCTGCGGCATCTAATGACTTTGGAGGGAAGATAATTTTCATGGAGGCTTAAGCTTGTTAGGGAGGCAACTTGGGAGGAGCTTGAAGGAGACTAGAGCCTTGAGCTAGCATTTGAAGACCACAAGGGAGTGATATTCCATTTATCTTTTTAATTCAAGGACTTGAATTTGTTTAGTTTTAAATGGGTTCAAGTTGTAATTTTGTTGAGACAGTTTAGTTCTAGATTGTCAATTTTATTCTTGGATTAAATTGATATTTGGATCTTATTTGTGCCAAGATACTTGTTGGAATATATGTTTGGAACCTTTGCATTGTTAATTGAATTTATAATTGAGTTTTCATTATGAGTTTAATTATCAATGTGGTTTGAATTGCAAAATTTGGGTTCTTTTGCCTCTTAATTGTTTAATTGAGTTGGTTAATTGTCTAATTGTTTAATTAGATAATTTCAAACATAATTTCCAGAATTAATTGGGTTATTTTTCATTGGTTTTAATAAGATTAATTAACCAATCTTATACTGTTATGAGTTCTCTAATAGTTTAAGGGCTTTTGAAATTGAGGGTTCCCTTTGTTTCAAGTAGGTAATTAAGTTTATTAATTCCACTCTCTTATCACTTCCCTTTGGTCTAATTAACTGATTAAGGTTATGAAGGTTAAATCCATACAAATCCTAAGTTGTCCCCTCTACCTTACCTGAAGAGAACTTCTTAATTTTCACTTCTTAATTCTCTTTGCTTTCTGATTAATTTTCTTTATTCATTATTTTTATTTTCCTTCAAAAAACCCCCCTAAAAATTGCATTGCATTAATTTGGTTTAATTTAATTTTCATATAGATTTTAGGACATTTGCATCTTGCATTTAGAATTAGAATTTTGCATTTTAGTTTAGGTCCATTTTATTACATTTTTTTTATCACCTAAATTTTCACCTAAAGAAACCCACAACTTGCTCATTGGAAGTAATGACCTAGGTCGACCCTAAACTACAAATTAATTGGGACCTAGTTTAATTGAGTGCTTTAACGACAGAAGCATCATCAAGGTGATATAAAGGATTATGGTAATTGATAGCCCAAACAATGACAAACCTTTTTAAACTTTCTCTTCTGTTCATCAGAAAGTTCTAGTTCCTTTTCATTTGCAATTGCAGCTGCAATAAATGGATCAGTAGAAGTGCCATCAATGTCATCAATCTCCTCCACCTGATAAAATGTATTTCCAAGGAGAAGATAATTAAGCAGGAAACTAAGGAATAATAGAACATGAGCACGACTTATTGTGGCACTCTAGCAAAAGAAATTGCCAAGGATAACAGCTGAGATAATGCATTGAAACACATTAAAGACCAGGTGCTAGGTTTGGATTGGACCTAAACAAGCTCAAGAATCCTTTCAAGGCAGATAGTCTCACATTAAGTAGTATGAGACGCTCTATGGGCCAATTGATTAAGTGGAAAGGTTCTCCCACTTCAATAGAAAGCTTTTGGGGGAGGTTTCCCATCCCATCGAGTACCCATCAGAGCACAAGTCTGTTTCCTTTATATTGTCCGTCAATGTAATATTGCTTCCATTTAAGAACAAGTTCAAAGAAGAATTAACCGGATTTCTACATTATTTTTGTAAACACTAACCCTTCTTGATAAAATTCAACCATATAAAACTGACATAGGAAGGCAAAAGACATCTGAAACACATATCTGTCACCTCGTTGACACCAGGAAATTCAAGGCCCATCAGTGCAGCTTGTTGCGGAGTGCTGGCCAAATAAACAGAAGCCCAATTCTTACAGCCAAATGAAGCATCAGCATCACCACCATCGTGAAATATTTTGTTAAACATACCCCAATCCACATCAGTTTTTTCCTTTACCGGTTCAATGGATTCATCAAGTTTTTTTTTAAGAAATCCACTGGCACCCTCTTCCAACAGTTTGCCATGTCGTCTGGAAAAGCACCAAACATAAGTAAAAGATTATGGCTAAATACTGCCATCCCCAAAGATAAAAAATTCCACACAGAAATCATACCTTCTAACAGGTCTGTAGACTTCTAGATGCTTCTCAGCATCAGCAACTGACTCAGCAAATTCTTCAGTTGCCTGAGTACCTACCCAATGATTCCTCTTTTTCCAAGCTTCTGTCAAACAACCACTGGGAGCCTCCCTCTCTATCCACTTATAAAGCCTTGGCAGCTCCACACCAGCCATATCAAGTTGTTCCTACTCAAAAAGATATGGATGTACAGAGAAGCAAAATAAGCATGCTTTTGAAAAGAACTATGAAAGCTCCAACTAAAGTATCACACGCATAAACCATACAAAATTCAGACACCTCACAATATCAAGTTGCACGGAGAGGGGGGGAGAGAGAGAGAGAGAGAGAGAGAGAGAGAAGGGAGAGAGAAGGGGACCAATAATAAACCAAAACATGCACTGTAACTGAAGGGAGGAGCACCTCCTTTACGGAACCTCCATATAGTTGTATTTTCCCTAAGAATTTTCTTCTTTTATAAATAAGATGGATAAGATAGAAGCAAACCAGCAAATAGGCACTTTCAGTCTCAAGGTCATCCAGAACAGCTTCCCACTCTTCTTTAAGAGTAGTCATCTCATCTGCAACAGCAGATTCCAACTACAAGAAAGTGAAAACACACAAATCAGAAGTAAAAACAGTAAGGACCACAAAATGATAGATAAGAGGAGAAACTAACATCATCTCCTTGAAGAGTTTGCTCCAACTCTCGCCTAACCTCGATCTCTACTTTGTTAAGAGACTCCTCCTCAAGAGCTTCTTGAGCCTCTGCAGCCTAAAATAAATATTAGAGAAACCGAAAAAGATAAAAGAAAAAATGTCACACATTTCCTAGCACAAAAGCACTACTGCTGTTTGAATTATGTTTTTCCTGACAGCTATTTCTTCTTACGTAGTCAAGCTGCAAGAAATTTATGATGCACAATCAGCATTCCCATCTAGCCAATTAACAATGATTCCTTCCATGTCACTTCATAAGCGTAACATGTGCAAAGAGAATTAGAGAGCATTGCACATGGTATTGTGAAAAGCATGCAATTATTTACACTAACAGTTAGATAGAAATGCCTGCATTTAAGGGTGAATATTTTCTTCCACTTCTTTTATGCTGTATAATGACTTTCTTTGGCATATTTATGGACTTCAGCTGGGTGGTAGAATAATAAATAATCGTACCTTGCTCTCAACTTCTAACAACTCAGCAATCAGACCTTCTATTTCTTCCTCAGTCAAAGGTTCCTGCATAAATAACATAAACCTTCATATGGCTTCGAAGCATTAACATCAGGGAAGCAGAGTTTCAGCTGGGGATATAAAAGAGAGAACATCTTGTATTGTCAAAAAAGTTGAGACACAAAAGTAAGTGAAAAAGAAAAAATCAACATGATTCACCTCGAGATGTGCCCTGCCATCTAATTCAGAAGTTGAAGACCCATCATCTGAATCATCAATAAGTGAACCACCAGAAGCACTTCCAATATCTTCCACTTCCTCAGTCTTTCCCTCCATCTGTAACTTAGACGAACATTGGTATGAACTCAATCTCCTTTCCTGTGTACCAAAAAAAAAAAAAAAGAACTCAAAATCTTACCAGCATGCACACTAAACTGGATCAACTATGTATATATACTGTGCAACATTCTCCCGGGGGGGGGGGGGAGACAAAGGGGCTTACGATAATAGTTTCTCTTTCGCAAATCATTAAGTCAGTTCTATGTAGCTGATGAGTTTTGAGATCACAATCTTACTAACTGTCCCTGTTCTTATGAAGGCAAGATTCTGCTAACTTCGATAGGAAAAACAAAGCTAAAAGATACCCACAAAGAGTCTAATCTAGTCATTTCAGACGACTGACTAAACAAACTTAAAAGTAGCCGGAATGAAAGAGGGAAAGAAGCGGGTATCTCTCCATTATCTAAATGTTTCAACAAATTGGAGATCATGTCATTAACTTACCTCGCCTGGAGTTTCAAGGAGTGGCTGCAAGTCTGTTGCATTAACAATCAGCTCTGGGACATGATTTTCCAGAGGAGCATACCTAAGATGTAGACAATTTTGGTAATTGCAATTATTAGAGTGTTGTCATGGCCGTGAGCATTTGAACGTAAGTAATAAAATAAGCATGGGATCTAAGAAAACTTGAACACTCATATTTGACTAAAAATAAGCATGGGATTTAAGAAAACTTGAACACTCATAAAAATAGCATATGAAATTTGAAATATCCAGCATTTTATGCCATTCCTTCAGCTAATAGATTTCTGTCCAGAAGTAAGAATACGTGCAGTATAGATGATCACATTGCCTGTGTGTATCACAAGCAACATCTGAGACTAGCATAAGCGAGCCCAAAGAGATAGGCGAAACAGACGTCACATCTACCGTGACAGGGACCTAGTCCCAGAGAGAACTTCCATACCAGCGACGTTTTGATCAAACTAGGGCATTGAAAATGTAAAAACCAATGCAAATATCGAAGCGTAATACCTTAAAGGCTCAACCGGAACCCGATTAGGATGAATTAACAGTGTTGGCTCATGGACATTCGTTGGGTGGCGTAGTGTCCGAACCGAGCAAAATCGCTGCGACCTGTGAGTAAAATAGGCTGGGAGCCAGACGAGTGCTCCGCTTGCTTGGCCTCGTGATTCTCTTCTCTTCCCGGGGAGAAATCAACCGTCCGTACGCGGCTAAATTAGGTTTTTTCAAAATTGAACTGGATAGACTAGACTCAGATACCTATTTTAAAAAATTACGGATATCATCCCTCTGTTTCTTCATTTCTTTTTCTTTAAAAAAATTGCATCCTGTATGTAGAAACCTTTGACCTAAAATATGATTTATGAATAATGTGATGCTTTTATAATATTTATATATATACAGGCGAATACACAAATTTACATATTATAATATCAAAAAGAGCATCAAACACCATAATAAAATATTGGGCGTAAAAATACACATTGAAATTTCAAAACAGGACAAAAATGCATCTTCATTAACTTTTCCAAATGTCAATTACTTTTTTTTTTTTGCAAGCTCCATTTATTCTAAGTGTTATCCTCTGGAGTGTCATACTCTCTCTTCTCTATTGATCCTCTTCTTATCTCTCTCCCCTCTCGATTCTTTTGGCATTCTTGATATCTAGTAGTTACTTTGGGATCAAACTTACGACCAGGTTTGAGAGAGAGATAAGATGAGGATGTGGTTATAAATTTTTCCGAGTAATAGAGGAGGAAGGGGGCTCTCAAAAGTCTTTCAAATACTTTCCATTCAGTTCATGGGTCTCTCTCGTCTTACATTTTCTTTTTTTTCTTATTTTTAACTTTGACCCGTTCTCTTTTTCATGCTTGTATTGAATTTTGAATTTCTACATGCAGCTCAAATTTTACACAACACATTATTGGAGGCTAAGAGATATAGTTTTAGTATTAAACAAGATTCATGTATAATTAGATATATGTGTTGTGAAATAATGCAATATGTGTGTCAAATAAAGGGTGTGTTTGGATAGAAACCAAACCATGGTTTCAGAAGTGCTTTTATGGATTACGAAGTAAATATGTGGAGAAGATTATCTCGTTTTGCGGAAAAGTGCTTCTGAAACCACGGTTTGGGGATACGCAAACAGGCCCAAAGTCCCACATGGGAAAGATGAGAAGAAGTCTAAGTATATAAATGAGATCAAGCATCCTTGGGGGGGTAAATGGACCAAGAGGGAAGTGGGCCTCGCGCACACAACAACAGGCCACCAGGAGGGAAACGCAGTTGTAAACCGGCGATTTCCCCCCCTGCGCGTGAATTAAACGCGGTAAAGCCTCATTTTACGAAAATTATTTTAAACTTTGTTGAATATTTTTTAATAAAATTATGCTTACCAGAAAAGCCTTATTTTGGACCTGTTAAAAGTCAAGAGGCTTACTGTTTCGTTTTGTGGCCGACCGGACGCGTCTCGCGGGGTGTAGGCGAACGTTGTGTGCACCAACGTTCGCGTTGTTCCGTCTCCAACGGAACCTTACGTTGCTTCGGTCGTACCCGCTCGGCGAAACAGAGGGATGCGTCCTCCGGTGATGTGGCCATTCGCGCCTATATAAGGGACTGTCCAGGCAGCGTGAATATACGCTGTTCCATCCTCTTCCTCTTCTCTCCCGCTGTGTTTCCTGTTACAATCGCTTTCGCTGTTCTGCTACCTTGCTTCGCAGGAAGGGTTCGTTTGATCCTGGGGAGTGCCGCTACCTGTTACACCGAGGGGCTGCGGAATATCTCTCAAGGACAGTGTCCTTGTGACGCGACTCGAACCGGATTTGCTGTTCCTAGAGCTGGTAATATGGGTTGAACCCGCGGGTCGAACCCGCCAACCCACCAAAAATGACAGGTTAGGGTTGGCTAAATGTCAACCCCAGTAAACAACGCTTTTCAACCCGCACCGCCTAACCCATAACCCGCTGTGGGTTAGCCCGCCAACCCGCAGGCTAACCCGCATTTATTTTTTTGTATTTTTAAAATTTTATTAATCATTATATGTATATTATTATGTTATATATTCTATCTAAAAAATTAAAAAAATATCTATATCATTTATTTATTTAGCGTTTTTAATCAAGTATTTGAATAAAGGATAAAAATTTCATTATATTTTTTATATTGTATAAGAAAAAATATTTAAAAAATTAAAAAATTTTAAAAAAAATAATTGGCGGGTTGGCGGGCCAACCCGTCAACCCACCATGGGGGGTTAGGGTTGGCTAAAAGCCAACCCGCCATTACACGGGACCTTTTTAGCCCGCACCGTCTAACCCTAACCCGCCATGGGCCAACCCGCAACCCGCGAGTTGGCCCATATTACCACCCCTAGCTGTTCCTCCTTTGCTGCCGCCAACAATCTTGAGAGATATACCCTGAACAATGGCTGCAAACAACGATGCTGCTGGCTCCAGTGCTATTCCTGCCAGCGTTCCCCTGAACGTCCCGGCAGCCATACCGCTTCCTAGGCCATTCCCTGACACATCCAAGATAGAAATGTTTGATGGAAGCAACTTTAGGCGGTGGCAAGAACGTGTCTACACAATTCTGGACATGCATGGAGTTGTCAATGCGCTAACTCAATCAGAACCTGCTGCAGATGTTGATCAAGGACAGAAGGATATGTGGCACCAGGCCAACAAAGTATGCAGGCACACCTTGATCAGTACACTCTCTAATGATCTGTTTGACATCTACAGCGTCTACAAAGAGGCCAAGCAAATATGGGAATCATTGGTTCTCAAATATACTGCTGAGGACGCTGGGAAGCAGAAATTTGTGGTCGGAAACTTCTATAGGTGGGAGATGACCGATGACAAAGACATCAAGCTTCAGATCAATGAATATCACAAATTACTGGAGGAACTTCGGGCTGAAAAGATCAATCTTCCTGACGAGTTCATCGCTGGGGTCCTGATTGAAAAGCTACCAACCTCATGGAACAACTACAAACAACAACTCAAGCACAAACAGAAACAATTGTCGCTTACCGGCCTGATCACTCACATCATCATTGAAGATACCAACAGAAGGACAATACAAGCAGCGAAAGAGAAAGAGACGGCTGCCAAAGCAAATCTAGTGGAGACAAAACCACGCAACAAGAGGTACGACCCTAACTCAAAGAAACAGAAAAATAAGAAACCTGATTACAAACCCAAAGGCACTGACTCCAAATTCAAGAAGAAGGGCAATTGTTTTGTTTGTGGCAAACCTGGACATTATGCAGCACAGTGCAGGAAGAGGGCTAAGGGAAGTTTTCAAAAGGATGAAAATCCTCCCAAGCCAAATGTGAATTTGGTTGAAGGAGATGACAGCGACAATGATGAAGTAATTGCTGCAATGCTTTCTCAGGCCCTCCTCATCTCTGATGTGAGAAAATGGGTGGTAGACTCTGGGGCTACCAAGCACATATGTGCTAACAGGGAAATGTATACCTCCTTCGAAGAAGGGGAAGATCAAATTTATCTCGCTGACTCCCGAACTGCAAAGGTTCAGGGAAAGGGAAAAGTGGTGCTGAAACTCACATCTGGGAAGTCTCTAGTGCTAAATGATGTTCTGTATGTGCCCGATATGAGAGCAAATTTAATTTCTGTGGCTCTCTTGGGAAAGGCTGGGGTGAAGCCTTGTTATCTGCTTGCTTTTTACAAAATAGAATACCTCATAGGAAACTAACAAAACACCTTATGAGTTGTGGAAAGGTTTTGTACCTAATCTTAAATATTTGAAAGTGTGGGGGTGCCTTGCAAAAGTTTTATTGCCTGATTTAAGAAAAGGAAAATTGGTTCTAAAACTGTTGACTGTATGTTTATTGGTTATGCTCAACAAAGTGCTGTTTATCGTTTTTTAGTTTTGAATCAAAACACAATTACTGAAACAAAGGATGCTGAATTTTTTGAAAACATTTTTCCATTAAAAGTTGAGCATATTCCCAAAGGTGTTGAAAATCCTTCTGCCTCTTTCCAAGAAAAAACAAATCAAGTTTTGACTGAAGAATTACGGAGAAGTAAAAGACAGAGAAAGGAAACATCCTTTGGAGATGATTTTTACACATTTTTGGTACAAAATGAACCTAAAAACTTTTATGAAGCAATCTCTTCTCCGGATGCAGAGCTTTGGAAAGTAGCAATTAAAGATGAAATAGACTCCTTAAATAAAAATAAAACTTGGGCTTTGGTAGACTTGCCTTCAGGAGCAAAACCTATAGGTTGCAAATGGGTCTTTAGGAAAAAATATTTTCCTGATGGAACCATAGATAAATACAAAGCACGGCTTGTAGCTAAGGGTTTTACCCAAAAGGAAAATATTGATTATTTTGATACATTCTCTCCTGTTACAAAGATATCATCTGTTAGAATCCTTATTGCTTTAGCATCAATTCATAAGCTATTTATACATCAAATGGATGTCAAAACAGCATTTCTAAATGGTGATTTAGAAGAGGAAATTTATATGGTACAACCTGAAGGGTGTGCTGTTCCTGGGCAAGAAAACAAAGTATGTAAGTTAGTAAAATCTCTATATGGCTTAAAACAAGCACCCAAACAATGGCATGAGAAGTTAGATCAAGTTTTAATGAGTGGTGGTTTCTCTACTGTCGAAGTAGAAAGATGTGTTTATACCAAAGTTATGAATAATGATTGTGTGATTATTTGTTTATATGTGGATGATATGCTTATTTTTGGAACCAGTATGAATGTGGTGCTTGAAACAAAAATGTTTCTTAATTCAAATTTTGATATGAAAGATCTGGGTGAAGCAAAAATAATCCTAGGTGTTAAAATCACAAGAAATGAAAATGGCATCTTACTTTCTCAGGAACATTATGTTGAGAAAATACTGAGAAAGTTTGAACATTATGATGAAACTCCTTTGAGTACCCCTTATGATGCTAGTGTGCATCTAAAGAAGCATAAAGGAGATCCGATTGCTCAATCTATGTATGCACAGATTATTGGGAGTCTGTTGCACTTGATGAATTATACCAGGCCAGACATAGCATATGCTGTGTGCAGATTGAGCAGATATACTCACTGTCCAGGCAGTGAACATTGGGAAGCTCTGAAGAGATTATTACGATATCTGAAGGGTACCATGAATTATGGTATACTATATAGTGGATTTCCCGCTGTATTAGAAGGATACAGTGATGCTAATTG